AAACACAACCACTAAGGAAATGTGTCATAAAAAATATTTAAATACATAGATCTGGAAATGTGAAATTGCAAGGAAGTAAGCAAGCAATCTATTTTTATGTAATAAAAAAACCGCTACATATTTTTGTCGTACCAATAATTCCCATTCACTCCACTCACGGTGAGTGGAGTGAGTCAATTCTATTCAATTCATTTTTGTATAGCCCTATATCACAGAAAAAAAAACACATTGGACCACATTGGACCATAAGGGGCTGGCTATAGTGTCCCTAAATATGAATAGATGTTTATAAATGTCCTTAAACGTCCTGGATAATCACTGCTAATCTGCTCCTTTTACTCCCTCAGTACATTCAGACCTTTTGTTTTCAGAGATAGAGGAAACCGGAGCAAGCACGGAGAGAACATGCAAACTCCAGACAGAAAGCCCTTGTCTGGAGGTGGAATCTCACCCAGGACCTTCTTGCTCTGATGCATAAGCACTTACTGATCATAAAGAATTGTCTATTAATCAGATCCATAACTGACTAGGATATCGTTATCCAGATATTATCCTTTATTATTTGCAAATGGACATGATATACAGAGTTTTGGCTTTAATTCAGTGATTTGCATCTTCCATATCTTCTTGTCCCACTCAGAGATTAGAGCTTTCTGAGTAATGTTTATCTGAGTCTTAAATACAGCTGTTGGTTTGCACAAGTAGGTCAGTAGTTGGCCAAGTGTCATCTTTGTAAATGTTTTGCATATATTGGTAAATAGTAAAGTAAAAGACTGACGTTTAATCCAACTTTCAATCCACGAGAAATCCATTTATTCGGACACTGAGGAGCACAGGGACTGACCTCATGCTGGGACTCTGAGGAGCACAGGGACTGGCCTCCTGCTGGGACTCTGAGGAGCACAGGGACTGGCCTCCTGCTGGGACTCTGAGGAGCACAGGGACTGGCCTCCTACTGGGACTCTGAGGAGCTAAGGGACTGGCCTCCTACTGGGACTCTGAGGAGCTAAGGGACTGGCCTCCTACTGGGACTCTGAGGAGCTAAGGGACTGGCCTCCTACTGGGACTCTGAGGAGCTAAGGGACTGGCCTCCTACTGGGACTCTGAGGAGCTAAGGGACTGGCCTCCTACTGGGACTCTGAGGAGCACAGGGACTGGCCTCCTGCTGGGACTCTGAGGAGCACAGGGACTGGCCTCCTACTGGGACTCTGAGGAGCACAGGGACTGGCCTCCTGCTGGGACTGTGAGGAGCACAGGGACTGGCCTCCTGCTGGGACTCTGAGGAGCACAGGGACTGGCCTCCTACTGGGACTCTGAGGAGCACTGACCTCCTGCTGGTGTCGGGAGTCAAGACTAAACATGAGGAGGCGGTGTTTTAGATCTACGTTGCTAAAATCCAGAACGGTCTTCTTGAAAATGTGAGACAGACTTCTACCCTGGTAATGTTCAAATCCAGGTTGCATACATCTGAGGGAATGTGTCTTTGCTTGTTTCAATATACAGTGTTATTATTATGATTAATGATTACAATTGTTAAGAACTTCGAGTTTCCTTATAATCTGTGCTACACAATTACAAATCCATGCCTTTATTTCTTGAATTTACAATGAACTGCCTCCTCTATATCACTTGCTGAATCATTTTACTAAATTCAGTATTGTTTAAACTGGACCACCCTTAGATGCGTGACAAAATTAAAAAAAAAAGGTGGTAAGCACTGTCAAAGTCCTAAATGCAGCTCTGCTAATTTGAGCCATGAGCAAAATAACCTCACCTCAAACCACCTGCTAACCTTGTTATACTGATTACCCATAATCCTGGCAAGAAGCCACAGACATATGCGCCTGGAGTAGTGTAAGATCATCTCAAAGCTTTTGCCCCTTCAAATATGCGTCCTTGATTCTTCTGGTTAAAAAACCACAAACACGCTGATAGATTGAAAATAGGAATGCATTTGTAAATATATATTGAAATTCTAACTACAGCATATGGTGAAACTAGGGTAAATATTGTTGCTTGATTGTATATTTAATTTATGTTTACATGTGTAAGTATATTCTGTAAGCACAGAAGGCAACATGTACACAAGATCATGTAAACTAAGGAATATTGTAAATACTTCTGTTTACTATCAATGAAATGTCTTCTGCTGTGACACAAATCCCGGACCTCCTCATTTGTATTTATATCTTTTTCTACACAAAATGCATTTTAGGCAATACACAGCTGTCCCCTAACCCTAACCCTAACTCTTCTGGATAGAAACATCCAATACATTTTTGTTGTAAAGATTTTGAAATGTACGTGTATTTCACAATATAATATATTTAAAAGATAATCAGTGGTGATAGAAATAGAAGGGTCTAAAATTAGTTCAGAATCTGCTTTTAAAAACAATTCAAAGATATGTTTTATTTGTGCATTTTGGTGAAACTGTTCTGTAGAAAGTAGATACCACATACAGTAGCTGCCTTTAATTCCTTGTATTTAGATTTTTAAAAACGTGTTTGATGTTCGCCGTCTCGCTTCCGTCATCCAAAGCGTTTAACTCCTTTTATTTTGACTTTTAAAAACTTCTAAACATGATTGTAGATATGACTTCAGGTCGCAGAGCGTGCAGAAGAAGGATATATATCATGGAGTGAACAAGGTGCGTTCTCATGTGTGTGTTGGTCTTTCTGCTTCCTGGACAGGGTTAATTTGACTGGACCTAATCAGTTTGGTGGCACTCTTCTTTTTCCCTTCTTAAGAGCTAAGGCGTCTATTTCCTCCATGTAAACCCTCTGTGGCACAGTAACAAATCCAGGCAGTGACCTAATGGCCTATAGTGATCTTCCATCCCACTGTGTAAAACTGTTTATTTACAAAGTATTGATTTAATTATCTATTGATCTTAGTGGAACGATGCATTAATCATAAACAAATAATGAATTGAACACATAATGCCTCACAGTGAATGCAAACTAACACTGAATTTAAACCTCACGTGAAATTACAGGTGTGGAACTTGTGACAACGGTGACGCCTCCTCCTGCTGAGACGTCACCATGGTAACGCACAGCACAGAGCACAAACAGGATCATGAAGTTACTTTTATATGTCTGTTGTAGAAGGTTTTTCACACATTAACCAATAGTCTTGATGATCCACTTAAAGTAAAACATCTTGCTATACCTAAACATGCTAAGTATTTTTTGTTTTGTAAAATTTCAAGAGTTAAATGTAGGAAAACTGATGTCAAACCCTTGGTCATTACAGCAGTTGCTAAGGAGCTTTTGCTGACACTTGGCTAAAAAAAGCTGCCCCTCTCCTCAAAACTGGTTTTGAGAGCAAAGGCAAGAACAAAAACAAACCTGGAGTAGTTTTTTACTTCATCCACGCTCACATCAGGATCTTGCTCAAACATGTAACGTCCATTTTATGCATTGTTTTCAGTGCAGCTTTTTGACTTATAAAACTAAAGTATTTCCTATCAACTAGTTTTAATTTTATATTTTTTTGGTGAAGTGACATTCTTTTAAAGTACATAGACAGTGGTTACAGCAGGTCATTTTCAAATATTTAAAATACTTGTTGTAGCATAGGGAGTTACAGGCTGATAGCACTGCTTCTCCTTGCCATACATTCAACTGTTATTGTATTATTTCACATCAACATGAAATGACAATTAAAAATGAAACATCTCTGCCTTCTGAAAAAAGCTCTATAAAATTATATATGATTTGTTTGTATATTTAAAATTACATAAAACAGAATACATAATTATGTCATTTGAACTGTAATAACGTATTGTGTTAAAAACTTATTTATGACACAGATTTATCTTGTGCTGTGTGCGCCTCATTCCTACTGCTCTGTAACTTGTGATGGTGTTTAGGGTGCAATAAAGTGCACCTTTACCACTGACATTTCCCCACTGTGGCACTCTTAATGTATTGACCTTTGTAGTATTGTCAACACTCTATCGCCCTCTTGTGGATACATACTAGAGCGAAACAAGCCTGTGACCCAGTTGTACGATGTACTGTAGGTGTAAATAATAGATGAAACTTCATGGATATACTGGCTGCAGAATGTTTTATTAAAAGGAAAGTTAGCGCAGTGCATTTGATGTTCTGGAGTAGACGGCCTTTACTCTCTCTGAAACTTTAGGTGAGTGCAACCCATGGAACCTGATTGTAATGGCTCCTTTGGCCTTGACAAAAAAACAAACAATATCTGTTATTGTGATGTCTAAATATTAGAATTGGATTAATGCTTTGTACCACAGAGGTGCATTATGATTAATATTCACAAAGTCACAATATGCCCTGTTGCACATATACATTATTCATTTCTGTTTGTTGTTTTCATGGTTGTAACGGATATATATTTCAAAAAGGATAAACACTTTCAAAGTATACAAGATGTGTTGACTCTTTCTCTTTGCCAAAAGAAGGGAACAATGTAAGATCATTTTGATAACATTTCAAGATTCAAAAGATTCAAGAATTTATTTGCCGTTTGCAGTAAAACTACACCGGAAAAACAGTGCAAGACTTCTATCTCAGTGTGCACTAGGCAGAAGATGGCACAGACCAGAGCTGTATTTCCGGCGCCGTGGCACATTGGCTGCTGACCTGTATCATTTTGATATTCATGTGAGGATAAATTTGTGGTTGTCTGCTCTTTGCTCTTGTGGTTGGATCTTTGCTTCAGAACAATAATGTGTAATCGAGTATTATAATCATATTTCTGAATTAGATGAATAACATTATCTAACATAATAACGTCCTAAGATTTAGGCTAAAACTACCAAAGCCCTACACAAACTTCCAAAACCTCCGACCATTACCTGTTCTGTGGGTGCGTTATATGAATCATACTGTATTCATTACACTGTGTAATTACAACTGACTCCGAAACACTCCCACAATCCAGTTTTCCAGCTTGACACTCAGCTCTAAAGTCATTTGCTGCTGGAGGAGACATCAGCCCGAACCCACTGCAGCTATCAACACATGAGAGAGGGGGCTAGAGAAGGAGGAGGGGCTTGTTCGCCCTGTGGAAAGCTGGTGAGAGAACACTCAAGCCAGCAAGAGGACGGGAAGATGCTGTTGCCAGGGAACAGCACTGAAGGAGAAACGTCAACGCTCAAATAGAGGATCGCATCATAAATCACAGCTGCAGTGGACTGGACTGGACGCATCACACAGATTGAAAATATTCTGGCAAATGCATCACAGATAAGGTAAGCAGCATTACATAACAGCCATGGACACAGCTCCCGTATGGTGACATCATCATCATCGCAGCAGGATTAGGGGGCATGAAACAGGGGGGAATGTGCTGGGCCCCGTGACATGACAGCACAAGGAGAACAGACTTAAAACTGAGGGTGGAGGTTGATGGATGGGATTATCTCTTTAAAAAATACCAACGGGAATGAATGTTGTGCTGCTGATGATCCAAAAAGTCTCTCCTTCTCTCCCCCACAGCCTTCCTCTGTTTGGAAATTCTGATCCGGATCGTGCTCAGCTCCCACCTGCGAATGTAAACAGACAGGGGCGCTCGGCTTGCAAGAGAGGAGGAGGAACCCACGCTCAAGAATCCAAGAGAAAACGCACAAATCCTCAGATATACTACATACAACATGTGAGTATATGCATGTTCTCCATGTGGCTGTGAAGGGGAAGAAAATGGATGGATGGATGAGTACATGCAGCGTTTGGCAGGCTACTTTTTCGTGAGAACAAGCTTGGGTTTGTCTTATATGGCATTTGCTATTTCGATCTTGTGGTAGTTTACTCCTAGGCGTGTGGCGGATGAAACAAGGATATCAAGTTACAGCACAAAAGGCTGATTTCATGTCCACGCTTAAGGGATCTGAAGTTAACCGTCAATTTTCGTTACAGTCAATTTTCAAAACGTTCTAAGCAATGAGCCATAATTGTAAAAGTCTTATATATTCTCACACCTTGCAAGTACAGTATACCTATCTGTCATTTATTAGTTTCATATTATATGTTAATTACATTGGTAAATGGACTTTTGAACAATATTTTAACATTCTCATTGTTTATCAGATCAGGGACAAAAGAAAGGATCTCTCAATCTCAGTCATCTCATAGAAAACATGTTATGATATGCAGACAAATCCCTGTGAGTCACACTTTGACGGTTTGGGCTGAGAGCTGTTTGAGTGAAGGTTGCCCTCTTTTTTCCACTTTCTTAACCAAAGAATATGATCTAAGGATGTGAGGCCAAAAATACATGCACACCATAAAACTAAATCGTTTTGCGATTGAGGAACTAGTTAAATTGGACTTCATGAAACGTTATGAAAGTTATGTACCCCAGCTTTAAACCTTTATATTTGTATTCAAGCATCTCCTGTCACCTCTGTTGCTGCGTGTCCCAATCATATTATTTGGAGAGCAGCCAATGCACATTTCAATCTGACAACATTATAAAATCGATACCCTGTTGTTTATTTTTAGCCTTATTTTTAGCCTCCACTGCTGCTGTGAGTACCGGTAAGTCTTTATTGGGCAAAAAACAGGACTATTTTGCCATATGGTCACAAATCCTTCTCATTACTTAAAGCGGTCCACTTTGTTAGCAGCTGAGGCCACACACACAGAGCTGCCGTGTGCTTGTGAATCCCCCTGTCTCTACGCACTCCCTGCTTTTAGTTTATCCTTTGCCTTTGAATCCTCCTGTCAAAGCAGCGCGTCCCAGGATTTATTCAGAGAACGAAGAATCACAACAAAGAGAGATTTTATTGAAGTGACAATCAAGGAATTCCCACGGTCTGCATCAAAATAGTGGGTTCCCTTTCTGTCGTGAGTTGAAATGATAAAAGGAAGACAACATACAAGAATGAAAAGAAAGTGTACTTTAATGAAATAAAATAAAATCCAGGGCAACAAGAAAGCACAAAATTAACAACCAAGGTACAAACGTGAGATAGACAACGGACGGATGAGAAATGGATAAAAGAATGAGGGATAGATGCACAGGGAGACAAAGGGGAATCAGATTAGGCCGGGGCAAACAGTCAATAGGACAAGAAGGTCAACTCAAAAAGCGGCAAGGTGGTGCAGAGGTTAGCTCATGTACTCATGTGTCTGCGCAGGTTTCCTCCAGGTGCTTCGGTCTCCGCTACCACTAAAAACATGTGCAAGGGACTACAGATGGAAATTAGCTACAAAAGCTACTCTGGTGTCACAGCTCCTGAATTACTGAAGTAACTCAATTTGTTCAGAAATCTACCAGAAAATAATACCCAAACCTACTTAAATAAAAGTAAACCTTGTTAAAAACAATCTTTAAACATAGGAAACCACTTTATAGTTTAAAAACTTTACCCCGCTATAGTTTCGGCTCTCGACCAGCTACTACTGACCACAATGAGTTTGATTTCCCTGATGTTGGTATTTATAAAAGCAACATTCTCTCATAGAATGATTTAATGAACACATTTTTGTAATCACCAGATACTTTTCAAATTGTGAAGAGAGAGAGACAAATTACAAGCACAACTTCCAGTAAGACCCGCCCATGCGCTAACTCACAGCTTCCTGATTGGACAAAATCAATTATAATCCTCGCCATTGGTCGAACTATTCTCCTCCGGCTTCTTACAGGTTACGGTTTTTTCCATGAGAAAGGAGTATTCGAAAATGACTTGATTTGCATGATCGCACAGGGTTATGTCAGTTCTTTGCTGACAACCTTCATTTAATATGTTAGTTTAAGTTTGTATCTCTGTTTTGAAATCTTGAACATTTCAAAAGCTCCACTGTCCCCAAATGACTCCATGTTATTCTTTTGCCGTCGCAAAATTAATTAATACAATCGAACACACACAAACACACATTCCCAAGCAGCCCAAAAAAACAAAAACATCGTAAAACCCATCAACATAAAGTCATTTGCAACAATGGATTTCAACAAACCTTAACTACTAAAGCTAAAATCTGGAACAGTCTTCCTGAAAATGTTAGACTCTGACAATATTCATATACAGTAGCTGTGTATACAACTGAAGAATTGTATCTTCACTAGTATTTATGCTCTCTCATTATTAACTATTTTATTGCCTTTAATGTTTCAGTCTTGTTTTGTTAAGCAGTTGGAATTGACTTTATAATTGAGTTTATAATAGTATCATTTTATTCCAGTTAATAAGGGAAAGCCATGACTGACCTGTTGATACATTACTAAGGTTACAGCTAACCCATTTTAGACTAAATTTGAATATTCACAAATACTGATAAAATCTATATGTAAATGTATCACACAGCAGCAGACTACAGCAGCAGCCTACAGCAGCAGCCAACAGGGACGCGCTCCTTTTAGCCTATTTCCTTTGTCGTTATTATAGACCAGTGTTTGTGTGGCTGCAGTGCATCAGTGCCACGCCACTGGACAAATGGACGTGGTATCGTCTGCTCGTCTGAACTCTTGTGTGGAAGCTGCTTCCTGATGCCACATGACTCACACATGATGCTGACGTGAAAACAAACGCTGATTCATCGTGCGTCCAGAGGGGAAGCGTGTGCTGAGTAAATTTAGATCATTCCTCACTAGAAGGTGGAAGGTCAACTTATGTTTCCCAAGATGTTATGTTTATTTATAGAAGGAGATGCAGTTCAAAACAAAGCATGCACCGAGGAGTAGCACAGTTGTTCAAATGAATTGTAAATTTAATTATTTGTATATTTTGAATACATTTGAATGGGTGCATTTATGGCCCAAAAGCCTGTTTTTAGCAACACAAATTAGCATGATCTTCTACTACACTAAAGGCAGTACATCTGGTCTGTCCAATGTCACTGTTCTGCTCATATCAAATAAATGCTATAAAATGAGGTTCCAGATTATAACATACGAGCCTTGACATTGCAGAGGTTTTACTTTGTATTGAGAGTTCTTTTAGTAAGTAAGTAATCTTTATTTATATAGCGCATATCACAAAACAATTTCTTACAAATTGTTAAGACTTTTTTTTTTGTTACAGTATAATTCCATTCACTACATTCACAATAGCATCACCATACAAGCACTCATAACATTCAGACGTATTGTACATGATGTTAGTGGTAGGAGAAACCGGGGAACCTGGAGGAAACCAGAGCAGACACAGGGATTGTCATTCTCACAGACCTTTTGGATCTAAATAAATAATTCACCAAAAAACAGTTAAATACAGCCCACCTCGGTTTCTGCACTCACGGGGAGCCAAAGATAAGAATGAGGGGTTGTAATCTGATTTGTCACAAAATGTTTACTTTTACAAGACTCATTCTGATAGGACGTATTATTGTGATATATGAGCATAAACTTAGGTAACTCTTGATGACAATTTTTTTCTTTTCCCACAGTGAGCTGCTTCCCGTCCTCAGTCGCAGAGGATGGGCACAGCAGAAGCCACTCTCAGAATGGACAGTATGGAAGTAAAGGACGAGTGGCAGGACGAAGACTTCCCCAGGTGAGAACAGTGGAACAGAGAGACGTCCACCACCAGCCTGGTTCAGCAGGACGGCATTTCAGAGGTTCTATCCTGTCCTGAGGTTTAGTCCATTACAGAGGCATTGATTTAACTTTGGCAGAGTATAGACTGTATATAAACATAGTCATTGATCCATTCATTATGCATGGTGGTGAAGAGGCTAAAGCACTCACGCCTCGCCAAAAATCCATTTTGTCTGTTACTTCCGGCCCTTTCAATGTGTGTGTGTGTGTGTGTGTGTACTGTATATGTGTGTGTGTGTGTGTGTGTGTGTGTGTGTGTGTGTGTGTGTGTGTGTGTGTGTGTGTGCGTGTGTGTGTGTATATTAATATTAGAGCAATCAAGAGCCAGTAAGAACCCTGCAGTTGTTCCAGTGTTATTGACAAACTTATCTCTATGAATGCTTTTGAAGGATGAGCTTTTCTCTCTCAACTTAAAGATAATGCAAATAGACTGAACCATAAATAAACAAAATAATGATAACAAAGACATTCACATATGTATTAAATATAGTTGATATTTTATATCAAGACACTTAACCCCACTTTGCCCAAAGCCCCACTGAAAGATCAAGGCTATGCTCACACTCAGAGAGCAGCCGTCCTCCTGTGGACTCACCACCTGCAGAGGGTCAGTGAGGGGCTGGTGCTATGAGACTTGGGTGGCATCTCTGACTGCCACCCCCCTGACCCAGAAATGGATTAAAGGGTAGAAAATGGATGGATGGATGGATGGATATTTTATATCAGATTACTGTAGATTAGTCTTTATTGTCTTTTGAAAGAGAAGTTTGTCTTGAACAAACTAGGGAAACAGAGAACAAGATGACAAAGAACGATAACATTTAACCTCCAGCAAAGGCAGTCTGAGTACTGAATAAAGTATCTATCTATCTATCTATCTACTGTATCTATCCATCTATCTATCTATCTACTGTATCTATCTATCAATCTATCTACAGTCCAGCTACATAATAAGGAGGTGACAGATTTAAAAATAATTCTCTTTTCATCTGTTTGTTTCTAAACTTGCACATTTGAGCGGATGATGTCACACTTTCCCTCGTCTCTGTCTCACGTGGAGAGCAGCTGTGTGGTTGGATGTGCCGTTGGTCAGAGTCAGTGATGTGAAAGAGGCAGGAGGGAGGCAGGTGTGTGGTCTCCATGTTCACCACAGAGCAGCCCACAGCAGGATGTGAGAGGAGCTGGAATACTGTTTGAATTGGATTAAGTCGGGGAAAATATTGGGCCGTAATAATTCAATTCAATTCAATGTATTTCTGTATAGTCCTTAACTGTAATAAAAATAATAGATTTTATTTATAACGGACCTTACATATACGAACACATCTCAAGTCGCTAACACATCTGAAATCACTTTGCAAAGTTGTCAATTCACCAACAACAGATCAGTGAATCAAACAGAAGGAACGCAGGAAATGCAACAATAACAAACACATAGGAGCCGTTGGGATGACCACTGTCAATAAAATAATCATAAGCAGTGATTTTACCACAGACACATTATAAATAAGCTGCTCTTTTAGTATGCATTAATTTTTTTGATATAATTTTTACTATGGATAGTCAGTATCCATGGTAAAATGTGAAACATGAACACATACATATAGCGTGAGAGAGTGAGATGTAAATGTTTCTATGTGTGGGACACCGTGTCAGCAAGAAATGACTTCTTTATCGACCAATATTATGCAAGGGTCGCAATCCTAAACAGCACCGTAGTCAATTTGTTGGGAAAAAACAATAACAAAATCAAAGACATGCAGAAATAGCGTCTTACAAACTGCAAATCTGGATAAAGCAAGATTGTATTGTCTGGCCACTCCACAAAAAACTCAAAATAAATAATAATGTAGTGCACAAAGCAACAATCATAAGTTAATTGACCAAAAACTACATTATTATTACTATTTACCATAAAGGGTGCATTCACACACTTTTGGTCATAGAGTGATGTAACGTCTAGCCCTTGATAAGCCTTTAGTCCAGGTCGTGTGATGGGTTTTGTTTTGGTCTGGTCCCAATTTCTTTGTGGTGAGAGTAAAAAGTTAAGTAGATGAAAACTATGAAAACAGTTGAAACGATCTGAATGTGCAGCTCTATTTCTACCTCTACCACTAATATTGTGACTGAGATTCCCTCGAGATACAAGGCCAGTGCAATATAAATACATCTTATTATTATGATCATTACTGTATTTCCAGAGGTGGCTGTTGTTTCTCAATATATAAGATCAGGAAACATGGTACTGTGATTTATTTGTTTAACAATATTATGTTTATGTAGATTTTCAGCTTGAGGGCAGGTACCAATACATTTCTAAAGGATATAAAAAATGTTGTTTACAGTAAAAAGCAAATGTCCAAATGTTTTCCCGGATATGTACTTTTTAGAGGCCAACAACATGCTTACGTTTTTGGAAGTCTTCATCATGTCTAGACGCGTTTATTAAAGAATACTTAGAACATATAGTTGATATGTACTGACACAAAAGATTTCAAACATTATTAGAAAGATAGATGGATAGATAGACTTTTATTGTCCCCTGAGGAATATTCATTTCCACAGACACTGTCACATCATAGACTGCAGAGGAAGGAAGTACAGTAGCAATACACAAAAGATACACAGAAACACATGCAATACTGGAACATGGACAACACTACAGTTTGTAAAGAGCAGCTATGGCTGAAGGGACAAAACTTTGGCTGAATCTTGCCCGCTTCCATTTTGAGTCCGGGCTATGCGTGTTACGGCTGTGAGGTCGAGATGTGAAAGGTCTGTGGTGGGGAGATGGATAATTTTGGATGCTGTGTGTGTGACTTTAGTGAATTTATTTCTGTCTGTGATGGAGAGCATATTGAAGTAACAGGGGGAGCAGTAGTGAAGAATGGGTAATTACATATACTGTAAATTATCTCTAAACTAAGACGACAAATCTGACTATTGAGAGTTGCCGTATTCATTAGGAAAGATTCTTCAGCTGTCCTCCACCACAATTTTAACTGCAAGCTCTAGTAATGCAGTGATGTCACATGAACACAATCTATAGGCCTTTTGAATTGTGATTTCATGCCCAGTCATTGGTTGTTCCCCTGAGCTATATCTAAGACTCTAATACCCCATTGATTCTGTTCATGAATCTCTCTTAAATCTCTCTGCCTTTCATTTACACCTCTTTCTAAGCGGCTGCTGAAATAATAGCAGCAATTACCCCCAGACAGCCTTTGTGACGTTTGAAGCAATGTTTATTTGTGTCTGTGTAGCTGTCTATCCCCCACACCAGCCATTTACCGGACTAATTCTAATGTCAGTGGAGATGGTGTAATTGCAGGTGTGGCTTTGGAAAACCACAATTTCTGTTCCCACTGGGGCACAATGTCTTTCCTCGCGATACAGTAGCAGTCATGTTGTAGATATAGAGATAGATAGATGCTTTATTGACCCCCGTAGGACAAATCCAGGTGTCCAGAAGCAGCAGAAAGTTTACACATCCATCCATACAAACAAAACAAATAAGTACATCTAAAAGTAGCTTCCAATAGTTGTAAAATGCTACAGCAGTTAGGTCACGTCAGCAGAGGTGGAGTAGCCGCTTTGTTTTGGCCACTTTCTCTGCTCTGGTCCAGAGTAAAATGCTGATCGCTTTGTTAGCATTTTTACAAAAAATAGCATTCCACCAATGGATGTATGCCTGGTCTGCTTGGCTCTGTAGTAACATTTACAGGTAGAACAAGCAACAACAACAAAAAATAACAAATGTGAAACACAAAACAACAACTGTAGGAGACAAGGTGTTAAAACCCTAATCCTAAAGCCTTATATCTTTGTTTTTGTTTGTTCCAGTCCTGTCTTTTTTCATGTCTATGGGCCTTCTGTTTTTGAAATAAAGCTTTATATGAATAATATAAAGTTTCTCCAATTGTTTGCATTGTTTTGTATTTATTGAGTTTGAGGAATGGACCCACTAAACTTTTCAATATTTTGTGTTTATGGAGTGTAAGGTGGTTTTATACAAGTGTGAGCTTCCATCATCCCCCTTTTCAACCAAACGGTCTTTCTGTTTGTGTTTACATGTTGAATGGCTCTGTACCTGCGGATATGTAATAAATAAACAAACAAACAAAATAACAACAATAATGCATATAATTAAATGTATGCATATAGTATTCTGGGACACCACGTCAACAAAATATGACATTGCTAGCAACTTATTTTGTCCAATAGATTTCTTAATCATCAATGTAGTGAATTAAGTTGGCAAAGACAATAAGAAAAACAAGGACATGCAAATAAACTGCAAACTTGGATAAAGCCAGATCTGAGTGTCTGGTCACAAAAAAATACCAGTGTAGTAGTCTTTATTTATTTATTTTTAGTAGTCTTTATTTATATACCACCTTTTCACTGCACATCGGAGTCTCAAAGCGGTTTACAATTGTTATTTTTGGGAGTGGGGGTCGCTAGTACAGGAGGCACATGCCAGACCTATTGTACATATTTTTAGTGGTAGGGGAAACCGGAGCACCCGGAGGAAACCTATGCAGACACGGGGAGAACATGCAAACTCCACTCAGAAAGGCCCTGGTCCAACCGGGATTCGAACCCAGGACCTCCTTGCTGAGAGGCGAGAGTGCTATCCACTCAGCCACCGTGCCGCAGTGCACAATGTCTTGCCTCCCATTAGCAGCCATGACGTAGAAGAGAAGGAACTAAACCCTATAATTAACCTTATAATTTTGTGCTTTTTTCTTTTAAACCATATGTAAAGATTGGGTACCTTTTATTTCAAACTTCCAATAATGGAATTTTGTTCAATCTAACTAGTTCCTTGGTTTAATACATTCTATCACTAGTTTGCACATACAAGTCAAAGTGAAAAACAGAAGACCACCCTCACTCAGCCAATCAGCTCACAGTGTGCAGGAAATCTTAAAAGACTATGTTTTGCAAGAAAATGAAAGGAGCATGTTGAGGTCTGATTTTACTTTTACTTTTTATTCAGACAAATAAAATGTGAAATTCATGTTTATAACACATTTTTAGGTACCTCAGTTTTAATTAATAAAAAGACTTTGAAAACCCTCTTGCCTTTTTTCTAACCCTAACCCTCTAGCAAAATATTAAATCGTGTTCTTGTTTTTGTTCCCAGGCCACTACCAGAAGACGGGGACGGCCTCACAGACACCAGAACCAGTGAGTAATGAAGCTAAAGCTGAGGTTTAGACTGAAAACTGTACGTGCTCACCACCCACCACAGCATTCTTTCATATAATACAGAAAGCTTTCATTTGTGCAGCAACCCTCCTCCTCCCCATAAACATCAAGACCAGCTCATCTCATAGCTCCCACCACCAGGGTCTAGGCCCAGGAGGATTTCATCTCATTAGTTGCAATTCTATCGCAGGAGTTCCTGGTAAAAAGAGGGGGGTGGAACTTCTACAGGAATCGTCCTCTCCCTCGGACCTCCCTGTCCGTGTCTCCCTTGCAGAGTAGGACCCCTCGACGACGTCATGAGTTTCAATCGCCGCATAATCAATAATTAATTTTTTTACGGTCGGAAACACTCCAGTTGTTGTGGTCTTTGAATTTTTTATAGTTCTGCTTCATTTTATTGAAACTTTTCACGACATTGTTTCTAAGTGTGATAAATCCCCAGAGCTTCGAGGTGCGCTGATATATCTTTTCATTTTGCAGCCATGCCTCAAGCCCCTCATCATCCGTCTATTTATCGTACGTCTTGCTTTTGTTGTTTGCTGTTTCCGGTGGTGTCTGCTAGGATAATGCTGCTGGATCTTAAAAATACCGGTTGTTTTGCTGCTATCTGCTGGCATCAGAGCGTGCTCTACCTTTAGCCAATCAGCGCCGGGTTAAACTCAAGCCCCACCAAGGAGTTGTTCAGGGCCCAACGGAGTACCTAGCATGGAGGAGGTAAATGGCCCTGTGGGGGAGGTTCCTGCAGTGGAGACACACACCAAAGGGGCTGGCCCTGGAAAATTACACCTAAGTTCCTGCGGTGGAAATGTGACCATAATCTCTATTTTCATTTCCTCTTCTGCATTTGTCACGGTGCTCTCCCGGGTCTAAGCAGCAAATCATAACAACATTTTTATTTACAGCATCCAATAAATGTCATTCTTGCTGAGTTTTATGTGCTTGTTTATGTAGTGATAAATTACTTTGACAACCTATACATACAGCTCTAATCCCTTGTCTTTCTTTTTGAGTCTACCTAGATTGAAACACAGAAAGGTTCAACAGTCAGAGGCTCTGACTTGTGTTTTCTTGTGTTTTTTTATTTTTTTCAGATCCGCCCACTACTCTGAATGTGGGGGAGACTATGGCGCAGAGGAAACGGCGCACCCTGGTGGCCCCTGACATGAACTTGTCCTTGGACAGGAGTGAAGGCTCGGTCCTCTCTGATGACTTTCTGGAGACTCCGGACGATTTGGACATCAACGTGGACGACATCGAGACTCCGGATGAGACGGACTCGCTGGAGTTCATCACCAATGGAAATGAGCTGGAGTGGGAAGGTACAGAAACCTTTAATGCTGGTCTGCCAAGTATTTTTGTTTTATTCTATTTGATTCGTGAATATTGTAAAGAAAAGATAAGATAAGATACACTTTATTGTCCTAAGGGAAATACACAGATAAGCATTAATTAATAAAAATACAAATAAAAAGGAATATTACAGGAAAAAACATAGACAGAAGTGCAGTATTGCTTTGAAGTCTCGTCCAGTTGGTCCAGTTCTGCATCAAAATAAGTAATAGGTCCTGGATAGAAAACTTAAATAGTTCATTTCAGTTTTATAGTCATTACTATGTCATTATAAATGTTGTAAATATACAGTTTATATAGCACATTAGACCAGGAATTCTCTCATGTATAATATATACTTTTACTATATACTGTATGTATAAACATGCTAAATACTGTTTAATGTGGTTTATTTGAGTTGGTATCTGATCTAATATCTCTTCAAAATAATGTTTCAATGATTTCAAAAATTATTTCAACAATCCAGAGTCTATATTAATATAATAATACATAAAATAACTCTTTTCTGGACACTCAACGTGTCCTGAAGGTACTTATTTTCCGATAATGACCTGCGTAATATACGTTATCTCGCTTATTACACGGCTTTATACCAACAGAACACACAACATAAACTTCAGTCCACTTTTAGGAATGCCAAAAGGTTTATTTAATGACAGAAAATAAAAGTTTCCAAAGGCTTTCCCGTGGCTATGCTAGCAACAGTTAGGCTATCAACTTCCAAACTAGAACTCTCTGGAACTGCATGAAAAATTAACAAAGAATTCTGAACATCAGCGGTGAGTGACCCAAACATAAACCTAACCTAAATCCATAATTCGATCCTCTGCAAATGTGTCCGAAAATGTGCCGGTATCTTAAAATGTGCCGGCATCTACTTCCAGGTTTTTCGGGATACATCAGTGTTTTTGTCATGAAAACGTAAACGGAAAATTCTGAAAACTTCCGTGCACTTGTATTAATAATGTATATGTATAATGTATTCTCCGATTAACATTTCATTGCGTTGATTGATTGGCATTTGCGTTTATTGAGCGTGGCTAGCGCCGGAGTGGCCGGTGTTCTGTCGAGATGATCTGGCTCAGCTGTTAATGATGTAATGCAAACCTGCGCATGCGCGTCTCACGGCAGCCGAAGCAATCCAAGATGGCGGACATGTAGTCCGCAAATTGCTTTAAAAGTTTAATACAAACGAATTAAGACACGAATGTCACTTTTAATGCAATTTGAGGCGAGATGTTGATGGTTCCACGTTATGATATGTGTGTTTTAAGAGTAAGAGTTTCGTGTAAAATTTGTTTTAAGCAGTACACTGCTCCTGTGAAACTACACTGCTGCTGTGTGATCGCAGTCCCTGAGTTAACTGCTGCATACGTCAGGCCCATGACGCGTCCTGTGACTGGTCTGTCGGGTTGATAATGGAAAAAATAAATTACATTTTATGCATGTATCATACTGTATTCAATATGATTAATAATAGTGTGTTCAAACGAAATATTTAATTAGATTGAGTTTTTTCCCCATTCTGGCGGGTTGCTGCGCATGCGCACGTCAGATTTGGGCACACTAGCAGTGTAGTTTCACAGGATCAGTGGACTGCTTAAAACAAACTTTACACGAAACTCTTACTCTTAAAACCGACATATCACAACGCGGAACCATCAACATCTCGCGTCAAATTGCATTAAAAGTGACACTCGTGTCTTAATTCGTATTTAACTTTTAGCAGCTTCGGCTGCCGTGAGACGCGCAGTGCTGGTTTGCATTACATCATTAACAGCTGAGACAGATCATCTCGACAGGCAGACCAACTCGACAGAACACCGGAACTACTTGCGGAGTTATCCACGCATTTGAAAGACAAGCAGAGAGTGTGTTGCCAGGGGGAAGGGGTCATTATTGTTTTGAGAGGTCCGTTATAGAAAATAATGACCGGTAGAACGTTTTGAAATTACATTCAAATCGATGGAGCGTTCTACTGCTGCTGTGAGGAGCCGTATAATAATTAATAATAATATTCTTTACATTGTTATATTTCATCATTACGTCTTTTTTACAGCGCATTCTTAACAAAGCAGATCAGTGTTACATTTACATTCTATGTGAAACCCTGACGTTGAAGCATTGACGTGTGGTTTGCAGACGACACTCCGGTGGCCACAGCAAAGCGGCTCCCAGGAGAGAGCGAGGAGGAGGAGCGCGACTCGGCAGGGAAACTGTGGCGCACGGTGCTGATCGGTGACCAGGAGCAGAGGATAGACATGCAGGTCATCCGGCCGTACCTGCGAGTGGTCACACACGGAGGTGAGGCTGCTGCAACACACACAACACACACATTTACTCTGCTATAGTCTGTCTGACACTGTCGCCTTCAGAAGTTCACCAGCTAAAAATGAGGCTTCCAATTTCAGACTATGAGAAAAATTACATTATGATTGTTGTGCAGTGTATGTAGAAAGAAGTGAAATGTTTGTTGTGGGTACATTTATCCCTACCGATATATAACTATTATTTCTCCAAACACATATGTCTAATAAAAAAATCTAATAAAAAACCTGGGATTTTTGTTCCTTCACTGTTGTTCTTGTTGTCTGTTATTTTAACATTTTGAGTTGTACATTACAAAAGAAGGAGTAGGGAGAAGTAAAACTTACGTGTCCTACCCCTTTTTTCAATGTCTTTCTTTTGTTGGTTCTCTTCTGTTCTTCTTATCCATGCGAGTGTTAATGCAAAAGCACACATTTTAATTTTGATAATAAATTACACAAAAAGGTCAAAACAAGTTGATCAAACAAGATGCAAGCCACAGATATGAAATTATTAGATTATCTCTATTGAAGTTTACAATGCACTGTGTGTGTGTGTGTGTGTGTGTGTGTGTGTGTGTGTGTGTGTGTGTGTGTGTGTGTGTGTGTGTGTGTGTGTGTGTGTGTGTGTGTGTGTGTGTGTGTGTGTGGTTTGAATGGTGTGTGTGTATGTGTGTTAAGTATTTGTTGTATTATCATTATTATGTATATATATTTTTGTTTGTTTTTTGTTTGTTTTATTTTATTGTTTCTACTCTGCTGTTCTATGTTCTTTGTATTTGATCATGAGGACCCCCCACGAAAACGAGATGATACATCTCATGGGGTTTATCCTCCGATAAAATGTCTATAAATAAATAAATAAATTGTTGAGGGCAGGGTATACATATTGGACCTATTGTACATATTTTTAGTGGTACCCAGAGGAAACGTACGAGGAAACCTTCTCAGACACAGGGAGAACAGAACATACAAACTCCACACAGAAAAGCCTGGAGGTGGAATCAAACTCAGGGGCAGTTTACACAGAGACAATGTGGCAGTAAAGCACTATAGTTGGATGTCGGTTGCTACCAACCGTTCATACGGTGGCTGTGTTCCAGGGGGGTGAAAACGTAAGTGTTCAGATCCAGTCTGCAAAGTGGGACAACTCAGATACGCTGCTCAGCGAGACTCTCTTTCACACCCGCGTAAGGAAAAAGTTGTGAATTCCCTGCCTGCTCTGACCATGGATCCATAATAATAACTGGAAAGGGTATTACTAGCTTATAGATGTCCCACCCACGGACACAGGGGGCGCCCGTGGTACTGCAGACTAAATTCACGCGGGCTATCCAGAAAAAAGTCCCATAGAACTTAATGTAAATTAAAACAGCTCGACAGAGAGCCTACAGCTTTCATAAAGATCGGATTTTGTGGGGATTTTAGTGTCCCTTGTCATCCTGAACTTTTTATCTTCTTAAATCCTTCGGTTTTCTTTAAATCCACACTTTACTGCCACAAACTCTGCTCCCTGCCTTCCCGCTCTGGCTCTCCTTTTCCGCTGCTCTAATGAACAGCTCTGATTGGTCAAAGCGCGGCCGAGCCCCTCTTTGCGCGCGCAAATCCACCGCGCAGAACCGGGAGGGGCTGGGGGTAGCGTGTGTGGGCTGTAAAGGTTCTCTGCCCACTACTGGCCGGGCGCTAGAACTACATCGTTTTTCATTTTACATTACGTTTACATTTGCATTAGGAGCCTGGTCGTTTCTATTAATAGCCTGGAGACGTCTGCGCAGAGTCACAGTATAAACTCAGTTAGCACTTGCCGCGATGCACAAGTGCTAACCGCTGCAACCTTTAAAAATTATAGTTTGCTAAACCCTTAATGCAGTGCTACCCAATTACTTTATATAAAAAAAAAAAAACTTTTTGATGCAACACCGGAGGATGTGGAATCCCGTTCGAGGACGTACAGCAAAAAACAAGTTCCCCACAGTCACGCATTCTCCCCCCAAATAGTGAGGGGGGCGCCCCCATTAGAGACGGACTGCTCCTACCTCCCACGGACTGTAACTCAGACAACGAGAGCGCCATTGTCAACTACTGCAGTGGATGTGCAATTACACTTTATTCAAGTACGACAAAAAAAAGCATGTAGCCCAGGGTCACACGCGCCCCCATTGGCATCGCACCACGCCCCCCCTGGGGGACGGGCCCCAGTATTTGAGAAGCACTGCCATAATGCAACAACACAACGCTCCAACACCTGACTATTTCTCCAGTTTCAAAAAGTTAGATTAACATAAAAGCAAAATGACCATGGGTTTCTCTTTCCTCTGTCTCTCAGGTTACTACGGTGAAGGTCTGAATGCCATCATAGTGTTCTCGGCCTGTTATCTTCCGGACAGTAACTGTGAGGACTACGCGTACATCATGGAGAACCTCTTCCTGTAAGAACCTTTGTTTAGTGCTCTGTGGCAGGACATTATTGTTTCACTCCGCACGCTGCCAACTGAATGCAAACTGAATTGAAAGACAACAGCTGGATCTAAAACCCTGCTTTTATTCCCAGATATGTGGTCAGTAGCCTGGAGTTGCTCGTGGCTGAAGATTATATGATAATTTATTTAAATGGAGCGACACCACGGAGGAGGATGCCCGGGATCAGCTGGCTCAAGAGATGTTACCAGATGATCGACAGAAAGTAAGTGTTCTATGATCTGAAACGGTCATGATTAAAGGTGAAAGTTGTACCTTAATGGAAACGTTTTCAGGTTGAGAAAGAATCTGAAGTGTCTGGTCATCGTTCATCCCACGTGGTTCATCAGGACCGTCATCGCCATCTCCAGGCCCTTCATCAGGTGAGCAGACCACTCTCAAGACGTCTAGTGAAAAGAGTGAAACATACAAACATGTATTACTTTTATGTCATCAATGTGTTATTTTTCTGTAACATACAAAACACACACACACATACACACACTATTTAACATACACACAAGTTTGGAAGAACTCAATAAATTAAATATCTATAGAATACTATAGAATATGTAGACAAATACAACATATTTAATTAAATTACATTTATTTTTGTATAGCTCTAAAGATGTGTTCACACTTGAGTTGGAGTAAACCAGAGTTCACTTTAAGTGAACAAAGAAAACTTAATTTGTGGAGAATCCATAACTGAAACTACTGTAATGACTTCTGCAATCTGCAATCTGGGATGACCAATGTTCATAAATGTCTTGGATCATCACTGTCATGCATCGGCGACATGCTGATGCATGAAGGATGGAGTGTGAGATACATAAACAGATCAGTGTATCAGTGTTGTGATGAAGAGGGAGCAGCGTCTGCAGTCAGAGCTGTATCAGACTGTTGTGATGAAGAGGGAGCAGCGTCTACAGTCAGAGCTCTATCAGACTGTTGTGATGAAGAGGGAGCAGCGTCTAGTCAGAGCTTTATCAGACTGTTGTGATGAAGAGGGAGCAGCGTCTACAGTCAGAGCTGTATCAGACTGTTGTGATGAAGAGGTGGATCTACGTTCCCACCCTGCACTTATGAGCATGACCGTAAGGACTCGATCCTCCACGTCAGGAGGAGCAGCTGAGGTGGCTCGGGCATCTGTTCCGGATGCCTTCTGGATGCCTCTCTCTGGAGGTATTCTGGGCATGTCCCACCGGAAAGACACCCCAGAGACCCCCACCGGACAGAGACCCAAGGGATGATACCTTTATTTTATGTTTGGAACATTTGAAAATAAATCTCCGTACGGAAAATGTGACACAGCCTTTTTACGCCACATCAGTGGTTCCATCCAAAACTCTTTTTGTCGAGTATTTGCCCTAAACTTTGTCACACAAACCTCCAATGCATCAATTAAATTATTCAACCTTGACCTAAAGTCATTCCCACTGGTCGATGCAGGTTGGAGGACTTAAGAACATTATCAGAGTGGAAAGATGTGTAAAATGTTGCTACAAATACCTCTAAAGCATGTGTTGCTGTTCTCACAGCAACTGGGGCTTAGGGACAGACCAACTCAGATGGATTTCAATCATAGAATCTGGGAGACAAATGGGAGACTCCTTTAGCATTCTGCGTTTTCAAAACTAAGAATAACAATAATCAGAAAATTGCTTCAATTTATTTGTGTACAACCCTAATTCACAACAGCAGTCGTCTCGGAGGACTTTACCAATTTGTCAATTCAACAACAGATCAGCTTGAACATAGTAAATGTAATAATAACAAACACATAGGAGCCATTGGTCCATAAATGTTAATAAATGAAAATAAATGTCTCAAATCAACTCCGTCCTTAGAACCTCCTGCATCAGCAAGGAATGACACAAAAAAAGTTCTACAGGTTGACTTCGAGTCTGTAAAGATTATTTATTTTCTTGCGTATATACTGTACCTTAAATCTGTGTGACACATAACTGTAACTGTACATATTTCTGATGCTCGACAGTGTGAAGTTTCTGGATAAGATTCGTTACGTCCAGACTCTGGAGGAGCTGAGTGAAATCATCCCCATGGAGCATGTGCAGATCCCTGAGTGTGTGCTGCAGTAAGTAATTTTCACCACCAAGGAGCGCTGTTGAGACACATTCTCAGCAGGTGTATGAGCCGGCTCCAGTTCCAGAACACTGTGTAATGTTTCCACAAACTTGAGAGGACTGCACACTTTCTATTAACTCAGGTTATATAATCGCTCATGAGCATATTTCTGTTGCAGGTACGATGACGACAAAATCAGAACGCAGAAGGAAAGGTGAGCTTGGAGAGACGGTACTTATCAATGTATTTGTATTATACAGTGCCTTGCGAAAGTATTCGGCCCCTTGCATCTTTCAACATTTCGCCACATTTCGGGCTTCAAACATAAAGATATGAAAATTAAATTTTTTGTCAAGAATCAACAACAAGTGGGACACAATCGTGAAGTGGAACGAAATTTATTGGATAATTTAAACTTTTTTAACAAATAAAAAACTGAAAAGTGGGGCGTGCAATATTATTCGGCCCCCTTGCGCTAATACTTTGTAGCGCCACCTTTTGCTGCAATTACAGCTGCAAGTCGCTTGGGGTATGTCTCTATCAGTTTTGCACATCGAGAGACTGGAATTCTTGCCCATTCTTCCTTGCAAAACAGCTCGAGCTCAGTGAGGTTGGATGAAGAGCGTTTGTGAACAGCAGTCTTCAGCTCTTTCCACAGATTCTCGATTGGATTCAGGTCTGGACTTTGACTTGGCCATTCTAACACCTGGATACGTCTATTTGTGAACCATTCCATTGTAGATTTGGCTTTATGTTTTGGATCATTGTCCTGTTGGAAGATAAATCTCCGTCCCAGTCTCAAGTCTTTTGCAGACTCCAACAGGTTTTCTTCCAGAATGGTCCTGTATTTGGCTCCATCCATCTTCCCATCAATTTTAGCCATCTTCCCTGTCCCTGCTGAAGAAAAGCAGGCCCAAAGCATGATGCTGCCACCACCATGTTTGACAGTGGGGATGGTGTGTTCAGGGTGATGAGCTGTGTTGCTTTTACGCCAAACATATCGTTTTGCATTGTGGCCAAAAAGTTCGATTTTGGTTTCATCTGACCAGAGCACCTTCTTCTACATGTTTGGTGTGTCTCCCAGGTGGCTTGTGGCAAACTTTAAACGAGACTTTGTATGGATATCTTTGAGAAATGGCTTTCTTCTTGCCACTCTTCCATAAAGGCCAGATTTGTGCAGTGCACGACTGATCGTTGTCCTATGGACAGACTCTCCCACCTCAGCTGTAGTTATCTGCAGTTCATCCAGAGTGATCATGGGCCTCTTGGCTGCATCTCTGAGCAGTCTTCTCCTTGTTTGAGATGAAAGTTTGGAGGGACGGCGGGTCTTGGTAGATTTGCAGTGGTCTGATACTCCTTCCATTTCAATATAATTGCTTGCACAGTGCTCCTTGAGATGTTTAAAGCTTGGGAAAATCTTTTTGTATCCAAATCCGGCTTTAAACTTCTCCACAACAGTATCTCGGACCTGCCTGGTGTGTTCCTTTGTCTTCATGGTTCTCTCTGCGCTTTAAACAGAACCCTGAGACTATCAAAGAGCAGGTGCATTTATACGGAGACTTGATTACACACAGGTGCATTCTATTTATCATCATCAGTCATTTAGGACAACATTGGATCATTCAAAGATCCTCACTGAACTTCTGGAGTGAGTTTGCTGCACTGAAAGTAAAGGGGCCGAATAATATTGCACGCCCCACTTTTAAGTTTTTTATTTGTTAAAAAAGTTTGAATTAACCAATACATTTTGTTCCACTTCACGATTGTATCCCACTTGTTGTTGATTCATGACAAATAATTAAAATTTTATATCTTTATGTTTGAAGCTTGAAATGTGGCAAAATGTTGAAAGGTTCAAGGGGGCCGAATACTTTCGCAAGGCACTGTATATAAATGGATCTGTATTTCCTTACAGACTTGACCTGGAGAAGCAGGCAACCCCAATACCAGCGAAAGAAAGGTGACCTAATTTATTGTTTGATCAACATCAGAATCTTAAAAGAAATCTGGGAAAATAAATGCCCTATAGTGTATCTACATGTACAAGTATGTTCAACACATTACGGAGCTCATTTATCAATCCAGGTAAACTGTGGGAGCAAAGTGAAATAATGAGTGCAATTGGTTCAAGTTCAATGGGACAAGAGTTTTCAGCTATTTTAAGCGCTGCTCATCACTTTTGCACATGAGCAAATGCTTGTGTGTGTATAAAATTAACACATTATGTATTTAAAACATGATCTGACTGGGATCATCAAGTCATCAACAGTCCAAGTTTACAGTCCCGAGTTGTTTGCCCAAGAATGTTTGATCGGGTTAGGAGTTCATTCAATTGAAATTATTTTTGTAAAGCCTTGAATCACAACAGCGTTCGTCCAAAGTCAATTCACTAACAACAGATCAGAGAATCAAGCCGTTTGAACTTAAGAAACGCAATAATAATAAACACATTGGAGCCATTGGTAAATGGGATGACCAGTGTCCATAAATGTTCATAAATGTTTGGTACTTTTTGTGAAGGTTTTTGCAGCACTTAAATGTCTCTCAGTTTGGTTTACAGAGAAAAGGTTATGCCCTCTTCACACATACGTAAACTGTAACTTCACTGAGCTGAGTCATATGCTTGATTTCAATGCAAAAGGAAATTTTAATTACAAACTATAAATATCAGCCACATAATATGTAAAGGGATTGTATGTAATATTCAAATATCCTTATATCACTTATATAAGACTATTTTTATATTAATGGCTTTTGTTTTTTTCCCCAGACAACAGGTCACATGTACAAATCATATTTGGCCTTGAACAACAGTTTAAACTGAGTAATTCTTAATCAAAAATACAACGGACATGATGATTATATATTATCCATGTTTACAGTTGTGGGGCGACAGTAGCTCAGTTGGTAGAGCATTGGCCTTTGGGCCTGAAGGTCGTGGGTTCGAGCCCACCATAAGACCTACTTCACGACTCCCATTGATGACTGCTGTCATTGTGTCCTTGGGCAAGACACTTAACCCCACTTTGCCCAAAAGCCCCCACTGAAAGATCTCAGCTCCTGTGGACTCACCACCTACAGGAGGATCAGTGAGGGGCTGGTGCTATGTGTACTGGGTGCAGCTCTGACTGCCACCCCCCCCCGACCCAGAAATGGATTAAGGGGAAGAAAATGGATGGATGGATGTAACCGGTTTTGTCTCAAATCTTTATTTTCATTTAATTTTATCTTTAACAAAATTCACATACAAAAACATAACCACACATTGTAAATGACACAAGCGGGCACAGAAATAATGGGCATACAAAATACAGTCTGTTTCTAACTAAACCCCAGAAGGTGGATCGCATCAGTAATTTGTGCGTATGAAGTACAACAGTGTCACAGGCAGGAAGATTCTGTCCCTCCAGGAAAAGCATAAAAGAGCACAAATATAAATGCCGGGGGTTAAAACATGAATTCATCGTTACAGGTTTAGTCATTGCAAATGTATTGATATAATAATCAAGTTAGCAGCAGCACTGATCATTCTGTGGCTGGACGTGTTGCTTTAATTAGTTTTGCCAAGTCAGGCATCTCAAGTGGAATCACGTGAGTGTTTGGGTTGCAGGAAGCACAGCCTAATAAGGACTGGGATGTGTGTTTCTAATGGTTTGTGTTTGAATGTGTGACTTCCAGGCCCAAGTCGATGATTGCAGACGTAAGCCGCGACATGTGACATTCAGGTAAAGGACGCGTGGGGCGACATGGGGTCCTCCATCATGTTTATGTGTGAGCTGTAATGTCAGACACAGCAGTGATATAAGCAAATACTTCCCTGGCACATGCACACACACACACACACACACACACACACACGCACACACACACACACACACACACACACAAACACATGCACACAAACTCCTGACACGGAACTGTGGGGAGTGAAAGATGAATGCAGAGGGGAAAGGTGATGGAGAAGTATAGAATCTTTAAGCTCAAATGTACGCCCAGTGTGTAGAGAGAGGAGCCAGAGACACATGATGTAGGCCGGGTCAGGGTGGTTATGTAACTGTTTACCCATGTAAACAGTTACATACATACCCATGTAAACAGTTACATACAGACCTCATGCATGGGGACAGTATAAGCAAGCCTCTGCAGCATAAGTAACATTGCCGTTTTGTTTCTGCTGACTTGTAAAATAGTTCTATATTTTTTATTTAATCTTTCTTTAATTCTACCAATAGGAAACTCTTTTCAAGGGAGTCCTGGACAAGACGCAGCAAAAGTTACACACATTTACATACAATTATAGATTATAAAAACACAACATGTCAGTGAGGATGTCTGAAAGGCTCTCAATCTGGACTTAAAATCATTCAATTATTAATGAGTCAAAGCTATTAAAATATACAGTAAAAATAGAGATTGAAGCGGTTAGGGCAGGCATGACCAAACTACAGACTGTGGGCCAATTGCGGTCCTTTTTATTTGGCTCGCTGTCTTGTTAACAAAAAGTAGTCTGGGATTATAATCACAAATTCACAGTGTCATCCAGCCAACTTCAGCTCAGTCATTAAAAGCATAGTATACCTCGCTGTAAAGAATCTGTGGACTTCAGCTGTTGACTTGTATATCCTGCTATTTGTTTTTATTTTATTGTGTCAAAACATTCCTATTGTGTTGCTCATGTACTGAAGCTGGTAAGAGGCTCATTATGAAGCTGAGATCAGCCTGGATCCAGTCAAAATTGTTTTACAGTCCAAGTTATCGGCCTCTGGTCAAGTCTGGTTTACTAAAGTGGCCCTCTCACTAAAGGTTTGGACACCACTGGGATAATCAAGTCATCAACAATAACTTTATTCATCTGATCTGGGACAATGCACAACAAACATTAGTCTTATAAAAAGTAACGGATTGAGAAACTGCTGTGATCCCTTTACCTCCATACCTCCTGGGTAGAGGTAATTACACCTTTGATATTGACTAACATTGAGCTGAATTATTTAGTTTTTTCATATACACAATTTTTGTGCATAATCAAAAACATTGGCTCTCAAGGAAACTTTGGGTCAGCACAGGACCCTAGAAATAATGCCCCCCATGGATGTTTACAGTATATTGTCCTATTTGATTTCAAATGCAATGTTTGTATCAAAAATAGGCATGGGAACCTAAGGGTACCTCACAATACGATACACAATACAAAGCTCACGATAACAATATTATCACGATAAGGATATCACGATAACGATTTTATCACGATATGACGATTATCGATATATTGGTCAGAACTATGATAAATGGAATGGAGATGCGTAATGTAGCCATATATTAAGTATTGATACCAATTTAAAAAAATAATTTGTAAAAAAAAAAAAATGTATATCTATACTTGGCAAATGCATATCGATAATCAAAAATACTGTAAAAAACATCATGTCAAATTTTGGGAACCACTGGGTTCGAAGAGGACCATATGAAATCTGTTCTTGGGCAAAGCAAAACGGGTCCAGACCATGTTGTCCGACGTGTATTAAAATGTTGCTCTTTTGTTATCCACCTTCAGCTCTAAAGCCTGAAAGGACAGTAGTGTGATCTCTGTCTGCATTCATTCATTGAGTCTGCATATTTGTGCCCAGTGCCAAGTCATGTGATAGCTCTTTATATTTCTCTGGGTCTGCCAAGACCCTGAGTTACATAAAACCACAGCTGCTCTCCTGCTCAGGCCTCTCCCCACATAACCAATCAAGATTATTTTTTAATCAGTCAGGAATCAACGTGAGGCAAATTGATCCAGGTTAGTCAGCTCGTTCTAAAATACAGGATCGACTCAACCCGCACAGTAGGACTTTGTGGTTTTGACATGGACTGCGGTTATTTTAGAGTGTCCCTGTCCGCCACTCCTATATGGCCTTCATATATCAGAGCTATCAACCGCGACAGGCAGACATCCCAGGAATGGATAGAGCAAATGCCAGCTGAGCCTGAACCTGAGATGCACTGTCATGTTGGAACAAGGACACGGCTCAGACTTCGGTGTTAATGTTAAAGATTGCGTGTGTATCAATGTGCTTTACTAGACAAGGTGCAGAAAACATGACAACAATAACATAGTTTTTCTACTGTCTGTTTTGGAAGCTACTTATTTTTGTTTTCATTTCATTCTTTTAATTACAATACAATGCAAATGTATATATTTTGCAGTCTCAGCAGAGAGAGTGCTCTCTCCTCTAAAACAGATTCTGCATCAAAATGGTTGTAAAATAGAACGTTTCTATCAAACTTTCAGATATTGTATTTTTATTTGCACAAGGAAGGGCACACTTTTTTATTTGGTTGATGATTTTCTCTGGTCTATTAATTGTAAGTCAGTTGATTGCTTGATTGAACTTGCAGTAGTGAAATGTTTATTGAGTCTAAATTCCAAGAATGTTGTTACTGAAAACATAACAACTAAAAAGTAAAGATCCAGTCAGGATCTAGAGTACAGATAGAAAATTAAACCAAATACGGATGAAGACCAAAAGCAATGAGGAACAGGGAGGGGAGGACAGGGAACAGGGAGTGAAGGACGACGTGGGTTTAGATCAGAAGTGTCTAACTGGTCCTTATTCCAACCAAGCAGGAGCACACGAGACTCCACCCATTTCCTCAAGTGAGTCCAGTCCATGGATCTATAATAATAACTGGATAGGTTATTACTACCTTTTAGCGGTCCCACCCATGGGCACAGGGGGCGCCCGTGCTACTGCAGACTGAATTCATGTGGGCTACCCAGAAAAAAGTTCCATAGAACTCAATGTAAACTAAAACAGGTTGACCTCAGCTGACAGAGAACCTACAGCTTTCATAAAGGTCGGATTTTGTGGGGATTTTTATGTCCCTTGTCATCCTGAACTTTTATTCTTCTTCTCTGTCCACATGCATGAGAGCCACATGCGTTTTTGGCGCAACGCATCATGGGAGCTCGTGCAATGCGCAGAACCCAGACGACCAGACGATGCCCAAATATGGGCGAGTTCCACTGTGTATGTCCCCCCACTGAGCACAAGCCATTCATTTGAGTAGGGCGCCATCTTGGATCACCGGGGCTTGGTCCAGTCTTAATCTGAAGACCTGAGGAAATGGGTGGAGTCTGGTGTGCTCCTACTTGGTTGGAATGAAACAAGGAAACAAGACCGGCTCTTTCTGGAACGCGTTTGACATCTCTGGTTTAAATAGAAAAGACTAAATTGACACATGAGGGAGGGGCAGGTAATCACACAACAGGAAGTCGAGCTAAGCAAGACACAGGGGTCGACAACTTACCAAAAAAAAACAGGAAATAAACTTAAAGTATGAAAGTAGTTAAATGTTTTCCCAGATCATTGTTTGTTAGTGATTAGATTCACAAAGCCAGCTAAATATTCTCATATTTCAGATATGTCCTTTCTCCTGGCCTACATCATATACATATATATATATTTTTGAACATTGTCATCACTTCTACTCATTATCATGATAAAATAAAATAAACAGTTGATATCTGCTGACAAAAAAGATTTAGAACTTCGTGACAATTGCCCCCTGAGGTGTAAGAGGAATTATCAGTAAAAAAAAGTCTAGAAGTCTGACTTTTGACATTTTAAACTATAGGCTCTTTGGTATGTTGTGATGTCACATGGACGTGGCATACTGATCGATGGTTGCATTTCTTTCATCACCTACAGCTCTGCACATCAATCATGTCCATTATTAGTGGAACGTGGAGTAATAATAAGAACTGTCAGTGAATAATGTTTCCATAGTAACTGTAGTAGTTTTATTATCATGCAGTTAGAACCATATTAAACTAAACTCTTGTGTTTTGTTTTGCAGATCGCTGGACTGGCAACGCTCAGGGCTGATCTACAACATCATCACAAGCTTGTTGCACCATCTCAAATTTCCAGCTGAAAGTTTAACGGTGGCAGGAGTCAGGGACAGTCATTTTTCAAGGCATTCGTATAAATGACACGCTCGCTTTCGTCGTGACATTTAATTTGTACCAAAGTATTAGTTCCATTAACTAGTTTGGGCTGGACGCATGTCATAGGTTTGCTTAGCATGGCTTTAATACGATGAAGCAGCTGGACACTAAGGTCTGACCTCATGTTTGAAAATGTAAATATTGTAACATATTTTGAGACAGCGGTTTGCACAAATGTTGAATTTGATTATAAATGTTTTGGTATTGTTTTGTTTTAAGAATCCTGAACAACACGTGCAGTGAAAAAGACTTCTTTTTAGACCCTGTGTAGATGTAACTGATACACATCGTGTTCCTCACTGTTGGATGTGCAGTCGGCATGCTCGTATATGTCCTCTGTCCACTTTCTCTGCCACTTTTGTCTTTGCTATCATGGTTTGGTACAGAGCCGATATTGTACATTATAAATCAAATGAGAATTATAAGAAACATTGATGAAAGTATTATTCTTGAAAACGGTGCCATTCAATGTTTGTATGAAATAAATGTCATCTTGATTGACTGTAGTTTGCTTTACTTGTCTTTTATTACTTTTGTTGTCGTTGGTAAATAACCCACAATAAGCAAAATCATGCTCTATGTTTGAAGGCTGTAAAACCCTTCCCCACACTAATTTTACACATTTGTAACCACCGGAAATCACAACGGCTGCAGGTTTGATATATCAGATATATCAAACCTGGTTGTTGTGGATCTGAGCTGCTGCAGCTGTCAAAAGCCGTGCATACACTGTTAAATACAGCTGCGGCGGAGCCCTTCCAACAGTAAATATGTGTTTGATAAAAGAAAATACAATAAAGTACAGGGGAAATAAAAACACAATGTCAATATTGATCAGAAAGATAAGAGATCATTACTCCAGTGTGGTGAATGAAGCAGTCAGTCCTGGTCACAGTTTCTGTGGTGTACCCCAAGGCCGCCTTTGTCACCAGCTTTGTTCATTGTTTTATGGACAGATTTCCTATGACGGAGTCTGGATTGAGAACCACAGGATTCCACCTACGCTGGTTGGGATCAGGAGATAACTAAAAATGCACAATAAATAATAGTGTATTCCTGTTTGGATTGGACTTTCCAGGATCACCTAGTTTATGAGTTTTTAGTCAGTGTGATTGACTGCCCCCATCATGAAGCTCTCCATTGACTTTTCTTAGAGAGACCTCATGGACCACTGGAGACTGCAGAGGTCCAACATCTGGAACATTCCTATTCTCTCAGTCTAGGTGAATGATTTACACACAACACGTTTTTTCCAACGATAACTCCTGTTGAGAATGACTTCCTGTGTCATGTAAGGAAGACAAAGCCCTGTGATGAAGATACAACTCTGCTAATCCTCGTAAATCTCACAGTCTGTGCCTACATCCAGTCCAATAGTAACAAAATAACATACTGATCCAAATAGCGAATCAAATGCTTAGCCAGTTGGACAACATTAAATTTAACAAAGGCATATGCAGCAATGTATTTATACAAATGTTATTATTATGAGTCACTTGATGTCAGCTGCTGTTCTGTGGATTCCCATAAAACCGAGCCATGTGCTGCCATAGCTGAGTCAAAGTTTGTTATCCCCTCATACAAAGATAACATTTGCTCATAAAAGACGTGATAAGAACCCCCCACTGTGTATCTGTAGTCACATTGGTCACATGGTGTTGGCAAGTCAAGTCAGTTGCATTGGAAGTATGTGTGACGCAGCAGGAACACATACAACAAGAGCTAAATATAGTGCTACCGGTTCTCACCGACCCAGAACCATACGCGTGGAAGTTTCCCTACTCCAAATCAAAATATTCGACCTCTCACTAAAAAAACTGTAGTCTGAAATGAAGACAATGCATTTTCTTTAGAGATGAAATGTATGTGTTGTTGCTATTACAACAATACATCACCAGTGTGGGGAAAATGATACCTTACAGCTCTAAACTTTTCAAAAGAGAAACTTCAACAACCAAATATCACTTTCATATCACCAGATACAGTATAGTACAGGAGCAAATATGAAAAAGTTCACACTCAGTATTGAGAGTGTTATAGCTCAACTGAAATTGTATTCCACTTAGTATTAAAAGTGTTCGGCAGTGTTTGGAGAGTGTTCAATACCTGCTGATAGCAGGGTGGACATTTCAGACCACTCTCATGGTTATCTGCTCCTCAGGCTCCCCTGCTCCCATTGGTGCAGTGTAGGGTTCCGTGGCCCCTCATTGGCTGTGGCACAGGGGCCTGGATGGCGGGGCTGTGGCTGCATGCTTTATAAACTCGGGAGACAGATACTCTTTCAATGAAGTAGTAAGAAGGAGGGACATTGTGGCAGAAAGGAAAGAGGGAAAGGATTTTTAAAGCCTTTAGGGAAATTTGGAAGGGTTCCTCCTTGTTTTACTTGATTCCTGAGGTGACCAACAGAAATACTAGTAACTCAAAATGAAGATCATCATCGGCATTGGAGGGTAAAGTATATCGTTATGAACAGAAAAAAAAAATTGTGTGCAAAATGTTCTTGTAAAGTAATGTTTGTGTTGTTCTTACAGTGTGACCAACGGTGGAAAGACCACTTTGACTAATCGACTACTAAAGACATTACCCAACTGTTGTGTGATACATCAAGATGACTTTTTCAAGGTAAGACAAACCAGAGTTTGGACATGGAATGTGTAGTTATTCATAGATAACTGTAGTTTAAAAGTTGGTTTAATAGTTGGTAGCCTTTAACTTAGTCGGAATAACACCAGTCTGACCTGCGGATGTCTTGTCATCGCAGTGGCCTAGTAATAAACGTGGCTGATTGTCTCCTGGGCAGCCAATCAAAGGACTGAGCGTCCCCACTTCAAGTCAGACATTTTTTTTTACCAGGGTTGTTTTTACAACAATCTGATTTTTGCATGAACATTAACCCCAACTGCTGTTCAAACCACTGGCACACCCCTCTGTGCTCTCAAACAGGTCCACATAAAGTGTTCAAACCATCAGAGCGCTGTCTCGTGCTACAGCACCAAAGTGACCTCCGATAATCGTGACCTGTACGGGAACAATAAAGTGTCCTTTTCTACCTCTTTCCTCCATTTTAACACACTAAATTAAAACCACAGTTAAACACATACAATTAAACTTTTTTCATATATATATTTTTTTGTAATTTTAATTCATTCTTATCCTCGTGTCAAACTCGTTTCCTCGCAGACTTTTGGTGGAGACAGGTCCTTGACTTGTCATGTCCAGGAGGGATCAGCTCCAAACTGGTTACTAGGTTGCCGCAATGTTTTGTTTGTGACTGGTATTTCAGAAACCCAATCAAATAGAAGTCGGAGACGACGGCTTTAGACAGTGGGATGGTAAGAATGGATTTCGTTTAGGAGTAAAGTAAAGTACAGTAAAGTACTTTTTCTTTCATGCACATAAAGATTTGGTAACACATTCATACTACATTTGCTAAAGTAATGTGTTAAAGTAATTCACTAAATAACACTGATGAGTTCAATACTCAGTGAGAGCTGCTATGTGCTCTGTGGTCATTCTTGGATCTTTTCTCTCCTCAGTGATCACTGCCCTGGACATGGAGGCCATGGTGAGCACTGTCAAAGGCTGGCAGGAAAACCCAGTCAAGTTCGCCCTCTCCCACGGAGTCAGCGTGTCGTCTGAGGCCAAGATGGACCCAGAGAGAGGCATCCACATCCTTATTGTGGAAGGATTCCTCATCTACAACTACGAGTGGGTCAAGATCCAATCATACATTACACATTTGTCTCATTTGAACTCTGTGTTAAACTGTCTGCTCTCGCTGCTCTCTCAGGCCACTCCTGGAAGTCTATGACAAGTGTTTCTACATTTCCCTTCCTTATGAGGAGTGCAAAAGGAGGAGAAGGTAAGAGCTGCTTCAATGTTCACTTACAGTGTGACTTGTGCTATAACACCAGGATACTGTTTCTCAGTACAAGGACATACACCGTCCCGGACCCACAAGGCCTGTTCGACGGCCACGTCTGGCCCATGTATCTGAAGCACAGGAAAGAGATGGAGGACAACTGTGAGAGAATAGGTACGAAGAATATAGTCCAAAAGTATAGTAAAGTAGTATGAAGTGGACTTGCAAAGAATAGCAGTAACATATTTCTATTTTTCCACAGAGTACCTTGATGGCATGATATCTAAAGATACCATCTACAACTCAGCATTGGAAAGTATTCAGAATGCCATCCAGGAACACTTATAGGTAAACATGAGAAGCACAGCAGCTAACCTTATGTTGAGTTTCCTTTATTCAACCCTGTGTTTGCTCCCTGCAGCCGACGGAGGACCAGCGAGCCTGTGTATATTCTTGTAAATACCATTATGTGTGAATGTAGAACATCGGTGATGTAATTGGCTGAATGACTTGTATATAATGAATCAAGTAACTTATTGACAACATAATAGCATAAGCTTTATGTTTTGTAAAAACCTGTAACTTTTTGTAAACAGTAAGTCACCTCTGGATGCTGTGAAACAACAGAGTGTATCTGACAGAAAGAGAAACTGGGAACACGTTTCCCAAGACTTAAAGAAAATGTTCAAACTACTCCACTGTCTCCTGGTCTTTACTCACACACACTCACTAAGCTTTGAGCCAAACATATATAAACCCTGGGATAGCAAAAGTATTCACTCATAAAAGATAATTGCTAGAATTGTCATTGTACTTTACCAGTGTCCAACAATCAGCACATTTCGATGACTGTAGTATCATTCATGATGGGAATAACATGAACATTTCGTTAAATCTGCAAATATAAATATCACTATTAGTTGGTAGAAAAATATAAACAAATGTCACAAACATTATCCCATCCTGACAATATAAATGAATACAAACTCACACAGACTACAATTATCCACAGTGGAAAACAGGCACTACGACATGTAACAACATTGCTATCTTGTCTTCAGAACAACTGCACAATACAAGACATTCGTTCCATAAATATCAAACCACTGCTGTCATCACAGCGCCCCCACAGACACAAACCCATTCCACTGCTGGCACACAGTGTGTCAGGGGGATGTCCTTTGGACAATGTAGCAGTGAGTTTTAATGTGCTTGTTTCTTATTCCGTTTTTGATTGATTTATTTGCTTGATTTTATTCATTTGAGAAGAAATTATACAGTATTTACAATATTTAAAATCTTAGTTTATGAAGAAGTTTTTCACTTTGTTCAATACCTTTCCACTTTGAGTAAAACCTAGATGTAAATGGAGAACATTCTCTGTGTGGGCATTATTTCGCAAGAAGGTCAATCCAAAATGTGTTTTATATGGAATATTGGCCCTCGTGGGGTTATTTTAATTTTCTAAATGAGAAGCCATGGCTGGTGATTGTATTTGACAGTGTAACCTTGACTGAATGCATCATGTCAGACGATCAGTAAATGTTGAATCAGTGCGCTCTCCTTTCACACCTGGCCCCACAGACAGAGACCATTCTAACCCTGGCAAACCCTATGGAGCAGGCGCCTTGTGAAGGGGCCCTTGGGGTCTTGTGACGCCAACTTGAACATGCCAACAGCTGGCCCAGGACACAGAGACGCTGGCCTGTCCCGTTTATATTTAGGCGAAGTGCTCTGGGTGTCAAGGGAGTATATTTTGAAAGAGTTGCACGGACAATTACTGGTTGCAACCCTAACCATCTGACTGTGAGCTGCCCGTGTGTGACTGTGAGGCAGATGTCAGAGCGTTGAAAGGAGAGAGAGAAGCGGCTCGTCTCCATCGCAGCAAAACCCCCAAAAGTTCTGCCAGGGCGGCCATATTAGGACCAGGAGGGAGAACATGAGAGCGCAATCACATGTCCCAGAGCACATGGACGGACAGGGCACCTCCGCTGAGCCCACACCACCAATACTCAAATATGGCTCATGCAGAATTCGTTTGGTATTTGCACTTCCAGCTTTAACTTTACATGATCATTATTTATTACAACGATAACTCTATGATGCTATTCAAATCTACATTGTCTCCATTGTGAGATCAATATATATAATATAGTGTATTTTATCCTATAAAGTATGTCTTATCTTAAATGCAGTTAAATTTAGATTCTCTTTCCAACTTCCAAAAAAAGTGTTATTTAAAGTCAAATTTCTCCACTGTGGGACTATTAAAGGTATATGTATATAAAATAGAGGAAACATATCTGGTATTATATATTTGTTCTAAAATACAATTTGTTTAATAATAATGTTAATAATAATGATAATATGAATGATAATAATAATAATACTAATAGAAATAATGATAATAGTAATAATAATGTTAATAATAATTATAAAATAATAACAATAATAATAATGATAATAATGATGACAATACTACCAGTACTAATAATGATAATAATAATAATAATGATAATAATAATAATAATGATAATAATAATAATAATAATAATAATAATGATAATAATAACAATAATAACAATAATATATTATAATAAATATATACAAATAAATTGTGCAATGAAGCCAATATCATATCTAGAGTTAATATTTAAGGATTGAAGCCGCTTATCTTTGAACAATGAATAATACTGTATCTTTGTCTTATCTATTACAGAGTGACTTATGACACATATCAAAGGTTATCTCCAGAGAGTGGAAGGCAGTTTCCTCACACCTGCTCTACGCGAACATCACGTGTCGCCCTAACGAAACGCAAAAGTTCAGCTGAAACATGAGTTTGATCTAAAGTAACTTTGCAAAGGTCGACATAGAAGCACAAAGTCATGAATCATGAGTCTCCCCATGACTCTGCAGTAACAGCACACGCTTTTAAAACACCTCACACACGCTATCCCACAACAGGAACATATTCATAGTCACATAATGTTTCATTTAATCATGATTTTTGTACTTCTCACCTGTATTGTCTCCCCATGCTCTGCAGTAAACCATCTGGATCTATCTTAAATCCTCAGATATGGCCCCCAGGGAAGACAAAGTGTATATTCCAGCGTGTGGTTTCTTGTTGAAGTAAAACCCATTTAAGGCCATCATCTTTTCTTCTTTTAATCTCAAAAGAAGCCTGGATACCTAGATTTATTCAAAGCGTAGAAGAATTAGTTTGGGGGTCTCCTTGTTGACTCCTTGAAGTTTCTCCTGCTGTATATTGTGCGATGAAAGCAACCACAAACTGTAGCTCATTCAGTTTATTCCAAAAGGCAAACGTCTAATTTACAACATATACTTGTGTTAACAAATGTTGTGGTTTGTTTTTACTTCACACAATAAATGTTCAATGCTATTGTCAATACTTACTGATTACATTTAGTAGCTTAAAAAAGTCTTGCTCTTGAGGTCTTGTGCCAAACCAGTCTCCAAGTTCTGGGGCTCTTATAAATGTGGAGCCGAGGACTTTGGAGCAGGCGGATCCCTGGGACAGGAATAGCAGCAGCGCCAATAGACTGGGGCCATATTTGGACGAGGAAATGCACACCACGCTGCCTGTCAGAGAACTGGCCTACTTTAGGAACAGCCGGAATACTGGGAATACCGAACTATGTACAGTATATTAACCCGAAGAAGTGTGTATTTATTAGACTTTGACTTTGTTGATCCACAATGGAGGCTACTCAGACCCAGTAACTCAAAAAAACACAAATAAAATGGTAAAAAGTGTATTGTTTCAAACCTGAAATAGATAAATATTCACGTCAAAAGTATATACACATAATACTAGTGGGATTAGGATTAAATATATAGTATGAATATATTTCACTGTCTGCTCATGTTGGTTATTGTGTTTGCGTATGGCACTCAATGACATCAAACATGAACTCTAATGTTAACTGAAATATACTAGATTACTATTACTAATGCTATTTACTGGTTACTGGATTAAACAAGTCATACAGTATATATTTATTATAATTACTAACAGTAATTCATAAATGGAACTAACTATACAACTACAGTATACTAGGGCGGCATGTTGGTGCAGTGGTTAGCGCTGGAACGGAACAGCAAGAAGGTGTTTGATTACACTGCCAGACTAAGCGTATCCGTGTAGTATTTGCATGTTCTCCCTGTGTCTGTGCGCCTTTTCCCCAGGTTCTCCGGTTTCTCCCACCACTAAAAACATGTGCAATATGTAGAATACTTCTGCGTGGTCTTGACCAAGCAGAACAACAGCATCTGGAGATTGGCCTTCAGGCATGGTCAAATTCAGGCGACACAGTTCCCAATGCACAGTAACATAAGACTATAATTTCCTCCACTGTGGGACTAATAAAGGCATTCATTCATTCAGGACTTAACTTATACAGTAAGCCATCCAACCTCTCTCACTGAGGGAGAAACTGGTTGATCCTATTTTTACCAAATGGATCTGAAACCATACTTAACTGTGTGGTCACAGTACATCAGGTCAGGGACATCATGTCTGGACTGGTCAGCAAAGGCCAATTCTGTGTATCAGAAAGGTCACATTTAACTCTTCTTCCTGATGAAGCTGAGGTTTTTTTATGTGAGCTGTCAGATGTTGCAACTGGAGAGACAGTGACCGGCTCGACAGACTGTTCTGTTCTCTGTGAAGACTGTGGGAGCTGTGCTGGAGAGAAGGATGACAGCTCTCCTGCAGGGCATAACTCCAGACACCCTCTGCATGACAATATGGCTGCTCAGGCTCCTATCACTGCGCTGCCGAACGGAATGCTTTAAGAGATCCTTTGTTCCTTTTGCTGTAAGACTGTACCACAGATCAGTCTGAGCTGAATATGTGCTCTTTATTACTATTGTTAGTCACTTTTTTTATCAATATTTGTCTGGATGGATGGGTTTCTGCTGCTGGACACCTGTACTTCTCTCGTGGGGGGTCCATAAAGTATCTATCTTTCTATGTGAGCAAAATGTTGTTGTCGCATACAAGTTTCAATTAACTTTGATGATCTTGGTTTTGTGAAAAATGAATAGTACAGAGAACAAAGCAAATGTGGGCTCAATTTAATGTGTAAGTAACTTTGCTTGAGATTAATAATAGGAAAATACACCACTTATATTTAAAAAGGAATATGATTTCTACCTATAGTCACTCCCCTCTCCCCGGGATGCATCATATCTGACTTTATGTGATCCATGAATCTGTCCAATTAGATAATTCAGGCTCGGATCCGCCCTGGGAGGAGCTCTAGTCTGATTCTCCTCTCACATATGGTCACATTGGCGGTCCTGTCTTTACACCGAGTGCTGCCTTTACCATTTTATATATGTGTGTCTTTTCGTTTTAAACTATGAATCCGTTTTCTTTATTTTGTTAGTAAATAATGACTTTAATATCAGAGAAGAGTCAACTCAATGTATGAATTCAGGTTATTGAGTGGTAGAAAAAAACATCTGTAATTAGTTTTAATTAGTCATGTACAGGTTGACCTGAGAAACAATCCGAGCAAAGAAATATCTCCATGGTAACAAGCATCTCATCTAAAAGTTGGCAGTGAGCATCAAACACAAGTGACCTGTGGGGACACCTGACGGTAAAGAGGGGGATCGTAGATGAAGGCTGTCTGTAATAATTCAATTATAGTCTGGTGTTTCCATGGAACCGATCTCCTCTCTGTGCATTTGGTGTAACTTCACGCCTGCCTCAGTCTGTACAGTGTGCTGCAGATGACACATACACAGAAAGAACTATAAACATGTGGAAACATCTGCAGTACGTTCTCGTAGCACGTGAGAGATGAGTCCACTGAAGCCGGATTTACGCTCAAACAAATCTTGCGATTAGTGATGCAGGTAAAGAAGAGAGAGCACAGGCCCTTACTTCACAGACATGAAAGCACAGTGACCTCTTGTGGCCAAACTAGCAAACTGCAGTATGATTGAAAGGTTACACAATCTCTAACCCCATAAAGATGTTTTCTATCGTTATTTTGTTACCATCCACTTTAGCATAAATTATTTTGTATATATTATATAACACCATATATATATAGTAGAAATATATTTAGTCGAATGGCAGTAGAGGTTATTTGAATTCTTCCATGGGTCCATATTATCTCTTGCTGAAATAGGCTTTAAATCCAACTGCTTCCTCGAGGTATTTGGCATTCCTGAATCCTGAATCTGCTCAGTTCACACCGGGGCGTAACGTTTGCTGAGCAAACCATGCGCAGCCGCAGCGAGGGATGGGTTAAACGTTCTTGTTTAAAGTTTTGACTTGATGTGTTAGTGACTGGGGAGAGTTCGTTAAAGTGACCAGAGCAGCCTCAGCCCTCCTCTTCCACAGACAGACCTCTGGAGCACTGATATGTGGTTTATTATACGCGGAGCTGGGAGGCTGCCACCCGTGTTGACAAACCTGTGTTACATGTCGTGAGCTGACTTCTACCTCCATTAAAAGGGACTGGTCTGTTTCATTGCAATGGCACAATGGACATTTGTATTTCTTTCTTTTTGTCATGCACTAGCTCCGCTTGTCAGTGCGCAGGCTCAGCGCGGGGACCCATGGAGACACAGGATCCAATGGGAGAATAACGGGCAGGTGTACAGCCTGATGAGCTCGGGCTCGCAGTACCAGTCTCCGGGCGGATACAGGGGCCCGTCCCGGCTTTACATCAGCAACAACGGCAAACAGCAGCTCCAGGGTTTGAACCGAGCTGCGTCATTGTACAGACCTGCGCAGTTTGCTGCTCCTCTCCAGTACGCACCGGCCACGGCTCGTGCGTCAGGAGCCAGACTAGAGCGCCCTGTGCGCGCGGGAACAAGTAGACTTCAGGGCACGTCGCAGTTCACTACAGCAAACACTTCCACTGTCGGTTTTTCCGAATCTGGATCCTCAAGGACGAGAGTGGAACCCCCCTCCCCGCGCACCAGGAGCGACACAGTAACTCGTGTCCAAAACCAGTTTTTACGCACGGGTGTCGCTCAGGCTCAACGACTGCCTTTACGCACGGGGCCTGAACCTTTGACACAAACTCAACCTTTACGTATGGTGTCGGAGCCTTTGGCTCGTGCGCAAAGCCAGCCATCACGCACGGCAGAGCTGGCACTTGTCTCACGGGAGAGTGCACAAACTGACCAATCCGTTCCAGGACCTGCTCCATCCCAGGAGCGAGACCTTGAGGTCCCTGTCCCGGTGACATATGAGGACAATGCAAATGAAGCAAACGCAGACACTGTCGACGTGGTGAACGACGACCCTCGGAACCCGTTTAAGAACCACAGAAACTCAGTGCTTTATAATCCATATCCAAACAGAGCGAGGCCTGCGGCAAGGCCACAGCGGCCGCCTCCCGGGACCGGCTACGGAACCAGGCTCTTCCAAAACGGTGGGTTGTTTTAGCATGCGAAAAATCAGACAATATTCAAATAAAATAAAATAAAAATGTCAGGTTATATGAACGAATCCCTCTTCTCTACCTCTTCAACTTCCACTGCTGTGGAGTGAAGGAATGATAGACAAAACTGGTGAATGTGAAGTGCCTTTGTGACCGATTAGTTGTTAAAACCTTGAATAATATATACAAGTCAGGGCTCGTTCAGTTCTGTTTTTTTTTTTTTTACTTTTCTTTCATTATTCTTAGCTATGGATCCTGTGCTTGCATGTGAGTCCTTAATAAAGTATAAATAAAATAAATACATAAAAATAATGAGTCAGATTTGTGCAGAGGCGCTCAAAGTTGAAATATGTCAACTAATATATTACCATTGAAAATCATCCTATACTACGTTTTTTCCTATATAGCCTGGCTTGAGCCATCCGTACACACCGCTCAATAATAATTTCCCTTAGTACGAAATGTAATTTGTAAATTTTATTGTGTGGCTTTAAGTTCGAACTAAACCAGATATTGATTTCATGGAATAAGACCTTTAGCCTGTATTCTGTTTAGGGAGACGAGTTGGAAGCAAATAAAGTTTTTATCACACAAAAATAAGCACTAATACAAAATGAAGCTACTCCCTGTCTCCTTCAGGCCTGCCTGACCTCATACCTGACACATACGCCATCCAGGCGGGCACTTATGTCCAGAGAATGCAGATGTACGCTCTACGCTGTGCTGCTGAGGAGAACTGTCTGGCCAGGTGAGTGTGAAACTAAGTGTTATTTGCGGATGACAATTTTTTTTTTTCTGTCAGGGGATAATACTTTTTTTTTTATCAAGGTCGATGGAAGAGGTAATGGTCAAAATAAAAACATGGTTCGATGAGAATAAATTATCATTAAATATAGGCAAAATAATACAGGCGTCCAGGTGTCAATAAAAAGCACGAGAATCGAAAGAGTGCAAGAAATACAATTTTTTGGATGAGAAATTAAATTGGAAATCCCATGTAAATCATGTAAAAAGAAAAATATCAAAACATATCTTGGTACTGCACAAAGTGAAACATTCACTGAGTAAAGCTCTAAGGCTCCTGTACAGTATTTATATTGCCCCATTTCACCTACTGTTTAGAAGTATGGGGAAACACATACAAAAACACCATATACATCCTTTAATCCTTTTACAAAAAAAGCAGTGAGAATCACTCATAAAGTGGAATCAAGAGAACACACAAATATGCTTTTCATAGAATCAAAACTTTTAAAATCGAGGATCTGATCAAACTACAGTCACTCAGTGTGATGTATAAAGCCAGAGACTCTCTGCTGCCTGCAGCTGTACAACAGCTCTTCTCTCTCAATTCCAAGGACAGTGTAAGGAAGTTACACTTCTCTGTCGCTTTTTCCAGAACCACCCAGAAACACATGGGAATATCAGTGGTCGGAGTAACATTATAAAATCAACTTGAATATGAAATTATAAATTCCGCAAACATCAACATGTTTTCTTATGTGCAAAATAAGATTTTTTTCTTCTTTCTACTCTTTTTCATTTGTGTGACAAGACGATAATTATTTGAAATGTGATCGTAATATGCGATGTATTGTTATGTCCACAATTGAAATTTAAAAAAACCAAACAAAACAAAAAACTCAATTAAGAAGCACAGCTGCAGCTGCACAAATATAGATTGATGTAATGAAGCACATCGTCTTCTTCCATTACTGCAGACAGACAGAGAAAACATACTGCACTTTAGTATTGGGACAATCCAAGAGCTAGTGTGCCAAACCCAGGAGTTAATACGGTCTTGTCAGTGATTTCAGAACACAAACATATTCTTAAAATATCAAAGGAAAGTCTTACTGTCATGGAAAAGTGAGGTCCAACTAAATGTCCTGCCAACACAAAGGGTGCCCAAAAGTAATCTGCAAAATGGAACACACTATTTTTAGACTCAACCTTCCATTCCTCTGGAAGTAAAATAATGAATAGTGTTACAAGTGCAGTATTTCAATGATTATGATAATTGAAGACATAAATCAAGAGCAAATACTGAAAGCACAGACAACAATTTTATCCAAGGCCTTTTGTATTTATCTCTTGCTGTTTAGACATATTTTTCTTTGATTGTAATTCATAATTACCATAATGGTGGCCTGATTTATTTTGTCTACTGCAAAAAAATATAATATGTGAGGTATAATAAATGCTTGCATCAAGTGGTTTTTATCTTAATTTGAACATCCTGACTGTCTTAAAACAAGATTTACCAATGGCACAAGCAATTGAGTCTTATTTGAAGAACTGTTACTTTATTTTATCATTCTCATTATCTTTTTAAAACAAGATCATTTTGCTCGTCTTATTGGCTAATCTTGTTCTAAGGCAGCCCAAATGTACTCAAATGGAGACACATTTTACCAAATATGAGAATTTTTTCATCACTTTTTGCAGTGTAATACATAGTAGTAATGTGCCAGTGTACTGTGTCCGTGGCTTCCCTTACGTATATGTGCTCCTCTGAAGGTCGGCCTACAGCTCCATGGTCCGAGACATCGACTTCAGGGTCCTGCTGCGTTTCCCTCAGAAAGTCCGGAACCAGGGGACAGCAGACTTCCTCCCCGTGAAGCCGCGATATCAGTGGGACTGGCACAGCTGTCACCAGTGAGTTTGTATGAAAGAAAAGCCATCTAAAAGTTATAACCCAAGACTGTAGATGGACAATGCTAACCCGCTAGCTCCATGAAACCCAACAGGGAAGAGCTCAGGCCTCTATTGACTTACATTGAAAAGTAATCTTGCTCAGTAACCGTTTGTTTGGGTTTCATGCTGTCTATGATCCTGGTGTTTATAGTGTTGTTGTAAAGCCAGAATTAAACCACAAAAAGATTGACCAGTAAGATGCCTTCATTCAAAAAGGAAACTCCAGCTCGCCTTAGCAAAAATCTCAGCAACACGTCTGCCCATATTACAACACAAAGCAAGAATAAATTCGGCTCCAGCTAGCTTATGTTCAAATCAGCACTGAGTTTGTACGCAAAAGTAATTACTACTCAACATTGTTCCCTGGAGTATTTTATGATTGAAATTATGATCCGTTATGGGTCCCACAGTGGGGAAATGTCGGTGTTGCATCACAGGTTACAGAACAGTAGGAATGAAAAGTCCACAACACAAGAGAATATTAAGTTTAGAACGACAAATTATTAAACAAAAAATCTTGCTTCATCACTGGTATATTCATTTCATCCCAGCAATGAGAGATCAATCTATCAATCTCGTCTATATATAACATATATACAGGACACATGCTTTACATTGACACTACTCCCCATTGCCAACCAACCAGACTGCAATTACATGTAAATGGACAGAAAACGTTTTATCTCTAAAATATATATGAAAATCTTCAGTGTTAAAGAACCAATCATGCATAAAGCAGTCCACTATACTGTATGTACGCCTGTTTGTTGACATAGAGGGCTAAAAACAACGCGTGTTTTGCTCAAAGGCACTACCACAGCATGGAGGCCTTCAGTAACTATGACCTGTTGGACTCCGTGACGGGGCGGAAGGTGGCTGAAGGGCACAAGGCCAGCTTCTGTTTGGAGGACACCAGCTGTGAGCCGGGATTCAGACGGAGATACGCCTGCACCTCGCACACACAGGTACTGACCGATGCAATCATTACAAGACCCATTTTGACCAGTTTTACAAAAAAATATGTGAGGAAGATCAACCCACAGATGAGGAGAGGCAAAGACAAATGTATTGTCAACAAATAGGAAGGACACAATATAAAACAGTTCATTGATTAAATATATATAGATGCAGTATGTTGCTTATAGAACAAGAGATATATGCATATAATAGATATGTAGTATTAAAAAAGAAAACATTAAGTTCCTCACTCTCAAAACAGCATGGTTCTAAGGTACTGTATTTCTGGCAATCTTTAGATCAGCTATATTTTCAGAAAGAAAAGTGAAAAAGAGAGTACTACCCTCAATCAGCCAATCCGCCCAAAGTGTCTAAATAGTGACTCACGAGGCTCTCACTTACAAGCATACAAGAATTTGATCAAATTAGACTTTATTCACCTCACAATGGATAAATGTACATGTTACTTTTGGCTTCAATATGATCACAAATGTAGTTCTTTTACAAAATCCTTTCTGCCAGGACAAACAAAATACGTTTTTGTTTCATAAATGAGAGGAAATAGTCCAGCATTCCTCACCTCTAAGCAGCATGAGTTCATGGTGAGGAAACATTGGGTTTGTTATGTGTCTGGACGTTGAACCTGCAGCTTCACTTTCCTCTGTTTGTGTTCAGGGCCTGAGCCCCGGCTGTCACGACGTCTACGCTGCCAACATCGACTGTCAGTGGATCGACATCACAGACGTGCCGCCTGGAAGCTACGTGCTCAAGGTAGAGCATGAAGTTTATCAAGTCTTAGGCCCATGTGGATGATGAAGTCTATAAATGCCTCTCTCTTAAATCTTTTAGGGGGTATTTTGTATAGTATAGTATAGTATAGGGTAGTATAATAGTACATGCAATATACTGTGTGTATTGGATATTTTCAACTATGACCTGTATTGTATTGAGTCCTTAAAGTGATTGTCTGCAGTTTGTCAGAAAGAGAGACAGAGAGGTACTTGATTTGAAAAAAACGACACAAGCTCCCTCCCCCTTCCTTTCTGATTGGTCTACGCCTACGTTTCCGCAACACTTTTAAATGTTAATCAGAGAACACATTATACATATACATTATTAATACACATGCACGGAAGTTTTCAGAATTATTTCTTTACGTTTTCATGAAAAAAATAATGTTTTAATGCACAAAAAAACGATTGCGGCAAACCCGGAACAAGCTATTATCATGAATTGCACATTATAGGACACATCTGCAGAGGATCTGATTATGGATATAGGTTCAGTATATACATAAGTACCTCAGCGCGGATGTTCAGAATTCTTTGTTCAGTTTTCATGTAGTTCCAGAGCCTAATAGAGGCTTGATTCGGAGGCTCCGCGAAAACAAACAACTGAGCATGCGCGCAGCTACGAGCATCAGCGTCGATGATTGACAGCCCTTGGCATCACTTGATTGGTTAACGTGGACGGCATCGTGGATTCTGAGCTATTGACCACTTGCATGTGACGTCCCGGCCACGCTCACTCTCCGTGATATACGGCGGAAGTCTAACTGCGAGCCTATGGAAACCTGACCAAAACAACCTTCCATCTTCTTCCCCTTAATCCATTTCTGGGTCGGGGGGGTGGCAGTCAGAGCTGCACCCAATTCACTTAGCACCAGCCCCTCACTGATCCTCTGCAGGTGGTGAGTCCACAGGAGGACGGCTGCTCTGTCAGTGACAATACAGCCTTGATTTTTCAGCGGGGGCTTCAGGCAATGCAGGGTTAAGTGTCTTGCCCAAGGACACAACGACAGCAGTCATCAGTGGGAGTCGGTGGAGAAGGTCCCGTGGTAGGCTTGAACCCTCAACCTTCAGGCTCAAAGGCCAGTGCTCTACCAACTGAGCTACTGTCGCCCCTGACCAAAACAACCTGTTTCAGCAAATTACAGCGAAAACTGTGATACTTTGCAGTGCGGTTGGTTGTACTAACAGGCAAGGACATAAGCCAGATGTGTGGTTTTATCTGATACCTGCTCATCGTGAAGACATAAGACGACGATAACGGAAATCAACCAAAAGGACTGGCAGCCGTGTACTCCCTAATATGCAATGAACACTTTTTACAAGATAAATCAATCACAAGTTGTATTTATTTTCTTTCCATTAATTTATTTGGAGGACAATGATACAAGTCAAACATGCCTCTTACTAATGTCCTGTATGTGCGCTGCAACATGTTCCCCGCTGTGGCACGAATAAAGATCTATCATCTTATGTCTAATAAGATGATCGATCTTATTAGACATAGTGAAAAAGAGTCAGTTGCGTTTTTCACTATTTCCCAGGTTTGGCTGTGGACAGAAAAGCCACAGAAAAGTGGACTATTGCTAATGCGCTAATGCTACCAGCTAAATGTACTTTTAAATCTGCTCCAGTGAAAGGGGATGCATTGTTAACAACATAATGATAAATATTATGTGGGGTGAATTCGGACAAAATTAGACATTTAATTTAATCGATACTGGGGGGAGAAGGTACGGGTCAACATCCAGTTCGGCAATCCTTAACTTCTCCAAATACCACTCTTTGTGAGCCCTGACAAGATGTCCTACTTCCACCAATAACGTAATCGAACATATGCTTGAAGCAGCCACTTCTCGATTTAAGAGAGGAAGCTCCGTTTTTAAGAGTTGTAGTCCGTTTTGCTCGCGCCGCAATGCTAGTTTCCACTACTTCCGCCGTAAGCTCATTCACAATCACGTGACTGGATGACGTCGATGCATCTGGTCAATAGCTAAGAGAAGGGAAGGCGGGACTTAACTGTAATATTAGAATTAATAAAATGACTTATTTTATGTGTAGTAGTAAGTAATCTTTATTTATATACCGCCTTTTCACTGCAGATCTGAGTCTCAAAGCGGTTTACAATTGTTAATTATGGGCATTTATCTCTCACTCCACACAGAGATGGGAGCGGGGGTCGCCAGTACAGGAGGCGCATGCCAGACATGCCTATTGGACATATTTTTAGTGGTAAGGGAAACCGGAGTACCCGGAGGAAACCTACGCAGACACGGGGAGAACATGCAAACTCCACTCAGAAAGGCCCTGGTCCGACCGGGATTCGAACCCAGGACCTTCTTACTGAGAGGCGAGAGTGCTATCCACTCAGCCACCGTGCCGCCAGTGTACTGTGTGTACTGGGTGCAGCTCTGACTGCCACACCCCCGACCCAGAAATGGATTAGGGGAAGAAAATGGATGAATGGCTGGACTTATTTTATATCAACATTTAAGGCCAAGAGGTCAATTCACTACAATTCTTAAATTTTTTAATTAATTTAGAGTTACAGACTATCACTTTAATAGAGATTAATCATATTAATATAGTGTAGTATGGTATAGTACAGTACAGTCTCGCAGCACAGACAGTAGTTCCAAACTGTCCAAACTAAAACTTCTGAAACTATAACCCAGCAGCGGAATCTCATATACGTAGACGATATGAATGTTGACAAATTACTACATAATTCAAGTTGCGCGCCATAAAGGTATATTTATGTGTGTTTCCCTTTATGTTCATGGACAAGGACATAAAGGGACATACATGTTATGTAAGGTGAAAAAGAAAGTATACTTTACAAGCTAAGTTAAGTGCTGTAATTATATAGATATTGATTTTTCCCAAAATTAAACTTATATTTGGCCATTACCATTCATTTGCAGTATTGACAGAAAAGTAACAAAAAGCTACTATGGTGCGTTATACCTCCTTTTAAAGCAACATTTCTCAAGATTATTTGATTACCCCAAATCAAATCAAAATCAAATCAAATTTTATTTATAAAGCGCTTTTCATACAAAAGATGCAACACAAAGTGTTTTACAGTTTGGTTAAAAACAATGCCGCCGGCCCATGTCCCCTCCCCCCGACCACCCAACAGACCCATCCCAAACCACAGACAGACACACACACGCTCCCATGCACACTCTGACACACACACACACACGCGCACACACACACACACACACACACACACACACAAGTAAAACAGTAAAACCATGATGAGAGACTTGGCAGGGTTCGGATGCAACCAGCTGAAAAAGCGTCATCCAAGGAGCCGTCTGCACCAGGAGCAGAGAGCCGCCCGTAGCCACAGGGGACGACACAGGATCTAGAGGAGACCCGAAACCGAGGCCCCAGGCCCCCACCAGGCCCAAGAGTCCGACCCCCACAGCCACACCGACCACTGCTCCCAGTGCAGAGGGCTCCTCCAGAGGAAACACTGGGTACACTAAAAACAATACAATAACAATACAATAAGTAAAACACAAAAATGTGAAACTAAAATGAACTAACACACAATACATGAATAAAAGCAATAGCAATACAATAAATAATAGAAGATAAATAGAATATATAAAATGAAATAGTAAAAACTAATCAAAAGCTACTCTAAAAAGGTGTGTCTTGAGCATGCTTTTAAAAATATGAACGTTCTCTGCGGCCCTGAGCTCCTCCGGCAGACTGTTCCAGAGACGGGGGCCGTAGTGCTGGAAAGATGCCTCGCCGTGAGTGTGTGTCCTGACTTTGGGGATGGTTAGGAGTCTGCTGCCGGAGGAGCGCAGGGGCCGGGAAGGTTCATAGGATAAAAGCAAATCTGAAAGATAAGAAGGCCCAAGACCATTAAGACATTTAAAAACCATTAAAAGAACCTTAAAATCGATTCTGAAACACACGGGGAGCCAATGCAGCGATTTTAAAACCGGTGTAATGTGGTCCCGCCCCCTGGTCTTAGTCAGGACACGTGCGGCCGAGTTTTGGAGTAATTGAAGACTTGCAATGTTCTTTTTGGGAAGACCAGAGAGCAGGGCATTACAATAGTCAATGCGACTGGTGATAAAAGCATGCATCAGCGTCTCCGTGTTGCCCCGAGAGAGAATGGGGCGGACTCTGGCGATGTTCTTTAGATCAGTGTCTCCCAAAGTGGGGTCCGCGGCCCCCTGGTGGGCCGCGAGGGTACTGCAGGGGGGCCGCGGGAGGTCATAATTTTTTTTTAAAAATAATATAATTATTTAATGTAAAATTTATAATGTTTTGTTTGTAATATTAAAATATTTGTGTTCATTATATGACTTGAATAATCCACTGTAATCATTTTTGTATTACAATGTTTGTAGCAGAGGCTATTTCCCCAAAATAAAATAACCAGAAGAGCCTATTCTTAATGTTGTCTTCTTGGTTATTATTTTGGGGGGCCACGCAGACCCGTCAGATTTTTAAGGGGGCCTCGGAATGGCTGCTTTAGATGATAAAAACCTATTTTTGTGATGTTCTTGATGTGAGGAATAAAAGTCAGCTCAGAGTCAAAGATTACGCCCAGATTTTTCACTTGTGATGATGGATTAAAAGAGTGTGATTGGAGTTTTGATAAAAGTTTCTCTCTCTGGGCCTCAGGACCGATGACTAAAACCTCAGTTTTGTCCTGGTTGAGCTGGAGAAAGTTTTCTGCCATCCAGGATTTCAGGTCTAAAATGCAGTTAAAAAGAGCATCCATTGGCCTGGTGTCATCAGGAGACATGGAGATGTACAGCTGTGTATCATCTGCATAACTGTGGAAGTGAATTCCATGTCTCCTGATGACACCGCCAAGAGGGAGCATGTACAGGTTAAAAAGGGCTGGACCTAAAATGGAACCCCAACACATAATTACAAACCGTAGGCCAATCATTTAACTTGAAACAGTTTTAGTTCAGTTCAAACATGCAGAACTGTGTTCACAAAAATCCACCAGAATAAATGAATATTCAACCCAGGTTAAATAAAAGTATATTCTACATGACAGTAACTAGAAAATTACCCTTCAGTCTGTGGTTCTTTCACAAACATTTACTCATGTTGTATTTCAGATAACTGTCAACCCAAGCTTCCACGTCCTGGAGTCAGACTTTACCAACAACATTGTGAGGTGTGACGTCACATACACCGGAGTCTACGCACAGACCAGAAATTGCCGGATCGCTCGGTGAGCCAAGAGCAACCAGAGTTATTCAAAATGATGTGTTTGGCTCATTTCTCCATTTTTATCTCCAGGAGTTAATCCCGTTTTCCACTCAACTCTTTGGTGCTACATTCCTTCTCTGAGTCAAGTTAAGAATGCAGAAAAATGACAAGAATTTTGCCAATACTTGAGTCATTGTTATAGTCAATGTTATTCTAATTTTAATATTTTGCCTCCTCTGGTTGATGGCTTGAATTTGCTGCTTGCCTTATTTTAATGCCCACATGTTTCTACCACTTTCACTTTGCTGTATGGAGCATATGCATGTGAACGAATGCATGCATGCAAGAATGAGAGATATGAATGCGGTTCAATTGTGTAAATTTTGTCTTAAAATGTGCCTGAAATTAGTTTTATTTGTGCCTTGCAATAACAATAAAAGTTTGGTATTACCTAATGTTCCACTCTTTTTTGATATGAGACAAATTACAATATTGCAATTATTATTACCGTAGATAAGACGTAAAACAGATCCCTGACTACCAGGAAGTACAATCACATTAGTCCAGTCCTCAGGTCTCTGCGCTGGCTTCCTGTGGCTCAGAGAATATAGACTTCAAAGCTGCTCTGCTTTTGTGTACCAGTCTCTTCATGGCCTCGCACCAAAGTACATCTGTGACAAGTTGGTGCCATATCGGACTCTGAGGAGCATAAGGACTGGGGGAGGGAGCGCGTCAAGCCAAAATCTGGGACAGTCTGCCTGAAAATGTGGGACAAGCTTCTTTTCTGACAATGTTAAAAAAAAACAGTTCTGTTTAGCTGTGCAGACAACTGAGGGATTTTATCTTCTCTCTTTTTAATGTACTGTGATTATTTATTATATTAATGTTTATTCTCATTTTTTTGTCAAGTCCTTTGAGTAGCCTTGTTTGTGAACTGTGCTATACAAATAAAATTGCCTTGCTTTTCTTTTGATGTAAGAATGATTTTCTACTTTCAAGAGTGAATAACGCAATGTAGAGTGTTCAATTCAACCTAAATTCCCAGTAACACAACATTATATAATTATTTGTCATGGTTGCCAACGACGACAGTCCTTTTGCAAATAGTTTGACGAGATTGGCCAAGTGACACGTCCAAATAAATGTCTTTAGGTTAAATCAATATGTCATGGCTCTGCACTGGAAGCAGCTTTACTTTGGGCAGAAGCAGCAGACGGAGCCTCAAGGACAAACAGGCGAGATGGTCTGCTGTTTGCTCACGTTTCTCTGTGAAGACGCCGCCGCAGGATCTGAAGCCGTCCTGTGAGTTCCTCTGCGCATGAAAGAAGGCTGTTCTATCAGAGGATTGTATAAGTTTCTTTGGGAACACTTTGTTCAAAAGGCCCCGACTGGATTTTTACTGTCAGGAAATAGTCATAATCATTTCAAACGTACAGACCAAGCTTCTTGCATTCTTACACATTCCTCACACCCTATAGAGGCAATGTAATCACCAGGATTTGCTTGTTCATCTGTTTCTTATTTTTTTAGCTTTATATTCAGTAAAAATGGGACAAGGAAAAAATGAAAATCTGGATTGAGGATTTTTCAAAGATTTTCTTGGCAGAGGAATGCACTCTAAGATGCCTTTTTTATTTTGTAATGCATATACAAACCTACTTTAAGAGACCAACGTAAGTCTAAGTCATGATTATTTTGCACACTTGTGTCTTTTTGCACAATGAGAGTGATTCTATCCATGCCTAATGTGACATGTAAATTTCTCCATTGTGATATCAATAAAGTTTATCTTAGTTTGATAGTAGTCTGCTACTTTCAATTTTCTTTGCTTGGACTTTACATAGGTATGCTATGATACTGAGGTAAAGTCCAGAAACCTCCATTTTGAAAAAAAATATATTATTTTTTTCATTTTTTTTTCAAAAAGCAATGAGTGCTTCACAGCAAGAACTGTTGGGGATATTTATGCAAACCCCAAAGCAGAACTGGGACCAAAGACGTTTCCACCTCAAAACCTCAAACAAAGATGAAGCAGTGGAGACTGGTCTGCTACCACCTGGAGAGGAGCATGGATGACAAACAGACTGGACGAGGCACAGGATCTGGAGACAGGAGAGCAAGTATGGAATCTAAATAAAACAGGCAAGTACAAAAAATGGAACTCAAGTTAGCACTGGCGATATGACGGCGTTATCTGGCAGGGAGTGAGGCGCAGACCGGGGCTGATGCTGTGGAGTGGAGTGGAGTTGACAGAACACAGGTGTGCCTCCTTAGCAGCCTAGCTAGTTTTGATTTGAAGATTTCCGGCTATCGAAGGTTCTGGTGCCACCTTCATGTGAAAGCCATGTGTCATTGTGTTCTTAGTCAAAACACTTCTCCCACGTTGCCTCGAATGAGCCTGGTGTGTGAGTGAATGGTTTGTGGCGGTCAGAGGGTTGTCTTGCTTCTGTCAGTGTGCCCCAGGGCAGGTGTGGCTATAGTTGTAGTTTATCATCATTGTGTATGGCCATTTTAAAGCAGCATTATGTAAGATTTTCATGTCAAGTCATCATTAAATGACCCTAATCTGTTAAAAGGTATTAACAAACCATGCTCTTTTCCAATACTTTTTTAAGAGTAGTTCAGCCGAAATATTTGGATTTCAAAATTAGTTGTAGTCGGACCAAGCGGCTACTCCACCTTGTGACCCGTCCTGCTCCACCCAGAGGCTACTCCACCTCTGCTGCTGTGACCTGAAGGCCTGTTGCTGATTATTACTATTGTTAGCTTTTTTGAATGATCCATTTTGTATTTTTATTTTTGCTGCTACTGGACACCTGAATTTCTCCAACGGGGATCAATAAAATATCCGTCCATCTATCTATCTATCTATACAATAGTAACAATAGCGGTAGGGCTTGTGAGTTATCAGAATAGATGAATGGAATATGTATTAATGGAATAATGTAATGATAATAATCACTTTGTCTTTTGGTGTATTGTCTTTTATATGAACCTTGAGTCTGGAATAAAGATGTATTAATAGCAGGTAAAGTAATAAGTGAAAGGACAGTGAGGAGAGCAGTAGATGAAGGAACAGAAACAGCAGGCATAAATAAAAAGACATTGTATTGTACCAACCTACACACTTTGTTCCTTCTTTTTCCTTCTCTGGTTTGTGCCGTTGGATCCTGCGTGGTGGTGGTGGTAGCTGAGTGGGTGGTTGGCAGACAGCTGTGCTCTGTTCAACCATTCATTCAGATGTTATTTTTTACAGGAGAGTTTTAATAACACGCACTAGACCATTTCAAACTCACAAAGAGCTGCACCTGACCAGAAGGATTTCACTTTGGACGAGCGAAAGCACACGGCTCTATATGCATGTTTGAATGTACACGTCTGTATGGAAAGACAGCCATTTAGTTTCTTGTGTTTTAGGAACAATTGTAGACAGCATATCAAAAGTATTTGTTTTTAGCGGTATAGGGAAAAGCGGTTTCAACTTGCTTTTGTCATTCAAGCCTGTGCAGCTTCTGTACTGAAATATAAAAAAGTCCCCAGTTGAAAGATATATATATTTTTTTAAATCAGAACAGGTTTTCATGTTGACCATTAAACACCTGATCTTGAGATGGTTCACTTTGACATTCTTGGCAGTTTCAGCATTTCAGATTGGAACATTGATTTCAGACAAAAATCACTAAACAGAAAAAGAATTTAGCTGAAGTGGTCAAACACTTCTATCTAGTGGTAGCAATGGGAACTTACATACTGTAAGAAAACGGATCTGTCCACAACTTCATACTGGAAAGGTCAACTTGCGTTGTTTGAGATATATTAATTGGACAGAAGGGAAGGGCAGAGGGACAGGTTTTTATTTTTATTTTAATTTAACCAAGAAAGTCCCACTGAGATATCAGAATATCTTTTAACAGGAAAGTCCTGGCCCCCAGCTGAGGGGGAGCTATTGTACATGTGTTTATTGGTAAGGGAAACCGGAGCACCCGGAGGATACCTACACAGAAGAACATGCAAACTCTGTCTGGAATCGAATCCAGGCCCTTTTTGCTGAGAAGCGCTAACCACTCAGCCACAGTGCCGCCAAAGTTCCTGATAATTGCAAGAGAGGAGCTGTAGCCTTTCTAAATACCACTTTGAGGTGTCCTTGAAATGTAAGCAATACAAAAAAAAAGTAATTGTATTTTTATTACCTTCAGTGAATTATTTCAAAATCTGTTTTTAGGATATACTCTTTTGACATATCTAGAAACAAATGAATATGCGTCCTAGATTACATATTGTGTTTATGTGTTTGCATACAACTTCCCCTTTAAAGTACATTGCAGTAATCATGTCACAGAAAAATGTCAAACAAACAAAAATCAGAGGACAATTAATAAAAACAAAACTCACGTGCAATACAGATACATGAAAATGCTAAACCAGAGATTAGCTGTTCAAACGTCCTCTGTTGCAGTCCGAGGCAGAGTTGGGTAAAGCAGGTGGACATGATGCAATGCATATTTGAACCAAGGACACAGGCAGGAGGTGGATTGATTTAGTCCGGATTGAAAAGCCTTGAATTTGCCAAGACGGTGCTTCCCGCTGCCAGAATAGAAGATAATGTTTTCCAAAGAGTCTGGAAGTCTCTACTGGGGCCAATTCACAGCTATATGTCTGGGAATTCAGTGCAAAACATGACTGTATTGTCATGGGGAAAAACAACGGCAACTATCAAACCTTCAGAAAGTGAAGTTTAGTGAGCACATTATCCCGCTTCTCGACTTTTTCATTCTTGTCAGTTTGAGATTTTAAACATCTGAAAGGTACAGAGGTTTGTTTGCTCAGCTGCGAGTCTTCATGCCGACATCTGGAAAGAGGGTCGTTCCAGGCCAAGACAAGCATGAAATGGTGGCCAGAAAAGACAAGAGGGCACTCAGAACTCGCCCGGGTTTGCTCTGAACAAGAAGGTGAGACAGAAAGAGGACAAGAAAAATCACAGATATACATAACAGTGGGAATGTTTTAAATATATACACATTATTCACTTTTACCGGTTATTTCCTTTGGTTGAAAAAATGGTCTAAAAACAGATTTTTTTTATTGATGAACGTTTTA